ATGTTAAGTCTTTAAGATATGTATCATATGGGTCATAGTTGCCTGATTTAAATAAATAAAAAATATACTTAATAATAATTGTGCAGGAAGCGACCCCTGGCGCTCCACTATCCCTCCTTGGCGTTCGAGGACTCAGAGACGAGCCGTTGCACAGATCCGCACATTGCATCCCGCAGCCCACACAGCACAGGCCTCTCGTCAATCCTACTCTGCAGGCACGTGAAGTTAACATTTCCCTGTAGTGATAACAAAATTTTATAGATTCTGTATCATTTATAATAATGAAATAAACCTTATATATATCAGGCAGTGCAGTGGTGGACTAACGCTCTGGCCACACAGTGGCGGCCGCGGAACCGTTCCGAGCGCGGGATTTTTTGTAATTTACGAGTTTCTATGAAGTGTGTCAGACACTGAAACGCGTCGCCGACGCGGAAAACGTGTTAAGTCCCGAACCCGCATTGGGTCAGCGTGGCGGACTATGACTTAACCCTCGCCTGAGAGGAGACTCGTGCCCAGCAGTGGGAGTATAAACGGGTTAATGATCATGAAACCTTATCTTCTTACAAAATTGAACGTAGTAGGAAAATTGTAGAGCATAGCTGGACTGCAGCACATTTTTGTTTTCCAAGTACGCACTTTGAAAACAAAAATGTGTGGTAGGGGAGGACTATAGTACTAACACCATCAACAACAGCTTTTATTCCATGAATTTTACAAAACATCTGTCACTTTTTAGATCTGTATTTGGTAGTAAGGTATTAAGTTCAAACGTGCAAGCGTTCTATCTGACGACCCTTACCCCGCACAGAGTTGATCACCGTTTAGAACGATCCATTGTAAATATTTTTATTTTTGTACGAAAGTAAATCTGAAGAATTATTAGAAGTCATGGAACAAAAGTTTTGGAACAGTATACTAAAAGTGTTGAATACACAATCGACCAATCGGGGTGCCTTCATTATTTGCAAGAGCGAGACAGACGTATAGCTATCTCGCCAGTTTACATTTAGTTGTAACTTATACTCGTCGGGTAACCTTTCATTTCCCGGCCTTTGCAATAATATATATGCAATGATACCATAGGAGCTGTCAGGCACCGTAAGCGCCGGCGGGTCCGAGCCGGACTTGAACGCGGCGGGTGCGCCGCCTAACGCCCCTGCTGCGTCTGTCACGCCCTCTGTCGACATCAGTGCTACTTCGAGCGAAGACGACAAGCCAAAGGACAAGAGCGGTTAGTTCCTAGTTCATTTATTTGTGAAAACACAGGTTGTATAGAAGTCGACATGTATATATATAGTTTCACTGTATCCGGTTAAACATTAGATATACAAAACATATTCCGCCACTGTTAGTTAAAAGGGCGCTTGTGACAAAAAAACCGAGAAAGTAATGTTTAAAGAAATTAAATTAAAAAATATATCTTTTTCTCTTGCTGGTAACTCCATGTCTTATACATGTAGGAAAAAATGAAAATGTATCACGGCCGGTATACATAAAATTTTTTTTTTATATGTCACATGCGTCCTTTCAACTAACGGCGGCAGTATTGAAGGTGTTTTTTATTTTTACAATATCAAGTGACGGGACGAACAAGCTGTGCGCCTGATGGTAAGCTACACGCCAGTGCATAACAGTTGCAATGCCACTCAGAGCTTTAAATCGTAAAGATCTGAGGGGCACTGCCACTGCGCCCGTCACTCTGAGACATAAGTTGACAAACCCCATGTGCCTGTAATTTCACCTGATCTGAAAGGATAAGGGTGCTGGTGAAATTACAGATACATGAGACTTGTCAGCTTACGTGACGGGCGCAGTGGCAGTGCATCTAGGAACTTTGCGATTTAAATTGCCGTCGCTCGAGAAATCTGTCGTCCACTAACAAAAATGCGGCTAAGGACAAATGGTCAAATAACCGTTTTAAATAGCACAAAACTGAAGATGCGTAGCTGAAATATCATTAAACAATATCAATATTCTAAACGGTTCTTACGGTTTTTTATGATATCTTAAAAAAATATTTTGTCACTAAGCCGCGTGTTAGTTGGCCGATGGCAGAAATGACTCCAACGGCCAACCGAACCCTCCCCGTAACTGCCGCAGGTCGATCCCGCGCGAAGGCGGCACTGGTGAAGCGCGTGCGCTCGGTGGCGGTGTTCTCGCTGGGGCTGCGCAAAGCCCGCGAGGCCGCCGCCGCCGCCAGCGGGGACCACAAGGCGCACACGCCGCATACGCCCGACAGGATCAGCTCGCTCGTGAGGACCGCTTTCAGCTCGACCCGACAGCTTCCTTGGCTTCTCGAAGCGGGACGACATATCTGAAGGCCCATTTGGATGGAGATAGTTTCTCGTCTCGAAGATACGATTATCGCAAGAATGTAAAAAACTTTCCTCATCTAAACATTCACGATTGTCGCCTTCCACGTGAGCGATAATCGCCTCGCCTTTGAATATTGAACGTCTCCATGTAAACAGAAGTTGAAAGCAAAAACTGTATTTCGAGTTTTTGTGCCTGCCACTCGCTACCATGAGTGCGGTGCGCGAGGGTGTTTTAATTATAACTGATTTTCTAAGCAAGAATGAATGAAACGAGAACGAAAAAACATGTTGGGTTAAGAAATGTTATAAAATTTAAGAATATAATATATTTTTATAAATTGCAATATGAGTGCAACGAACCTAATATTAGCAGCAGAATGATTTTTTGCGTCATTTTGGTCAATACCGCAGTAATCACTGAACTCGAATGGCAATTCTCGCACTCAAAACGGTTCAAACCGATTTGTACGATAATCGTATAAACTTGAAAAACATAGGAGATCGTGTTTAGACGAGTCGAAACCTCGTAAGCAAGAATCTATTTACTACATATTTCTCTGTGTAAACAGCTGAGGAGGCGATTAAGTTGCTTGCGAATCTCGTATGACATAATCGTAAGCGAGATTTTAGTTCTTGCCTGAATGTAAACACACGATAATCTTATGGCGATTATTGCTTGCGATAATCGCGTACGATTTTTCGTCACGAAGCGTGCAATAAACTCTCTCCATCAAAATGGTCCTTTAGGCTACTACTAGACAGCTCAGTGAAGACTCCGAAGCATCGTGTTACTTGAATGAATGAATGAATGCTTGTTACTTGCAGCTTGTCACTTTTCAGAACATTATTAATTATAATAATTAATTTATTATATAAACACAAGTTATATAGAAGCTGACATGTACAAAATAAGTATAGTCTCACTGTCCGACCAAACAGTAGGCATACAAATATTGAAGGTATACTATACATTCACTCGCATGCACTTCGACAAACCAAACCAGGTGTAACAGTTCCTTTTTCGATATCGGGTCGAAACACAAAACTGCGAATCGGCGTGATGCGAATTCGCAACGCAGAAAACTGGAACGCGAATTGCTGCGATGCTATTTCGTGCGGCAAGGAATCGCACTGCCTCGGTTCGGGTAACCATTCTTTCGACGATCATCAACCGTACTGAATGTATTTTTTAAACTAGGTAGCAACATGGATCGTAAAAAGAGTGTTGCATTACTGTTATTGATAAGAAAATATAGGAAAAAAACACAAAGAAGATTAACATCGCAGAAATGCGCGATGCGGAGCAATTCGCAAATTCTTGCGATGCGTCGTGCGAGTTCGTAGATTTCTGCAATGCGACGCCGCATCGCAGTTTTGTGTTTTCACCCGTAGAGCTTTCGGTAAATTGTTGTACATTTTTACCGTCATTACAAAAATACTTTTCTGCATAATAGTAGTTTTACAGGCTTTACTTTTTATTTTTTATATATCTAAAAGGAAGACCAAGAGCTTAAAACTAACTTAAATAATAATAATAACAACTGGAATCTCACAGATAGAAATATAACAAGGAACCTGGATGCGCAATACAAGTAACCTATTACACAAAACATAGTATGTACGTAAAACTTAAAAAGATAACTGCATAGGAAATGAAACTATTTTTCCGGATTTAAATCGCGTATATTTGTTTTTTCAAACAAACCGACGTTTCGGGCCCTTTACAGGTCCCATGGTCACGGTTGACTGAGGTGGTACAGTCTTCAACCAGTTATGTCTAATATTAATGCAAACCACCCTATTTTTTCACTATAGTTACAATAGTTATTAATTAAATACCTTATTTTTAATTTTACAAAGAAAACATTCCAATTTACGCTACATTAAGTTTTACAAATTATTTTATTGAATGAATTTTTATTAGGTTTAATTTATTATTAATTATTAATAGAAATTAGAATAAACTAAAACATATTAATTAGTACTGCAGTCTTATGTCTGTTTGGGATTTTTCATTAGAGGAAATACTGGATCCCAAACTGGTGGTACGGAGAAACCATCTTCCCTGTTGAAATTAGGATGTTTTTTAATTTCAATGGCCTCTCGCAGCATCCTGGGTAGATAACGGACTTCTTTTGCAAGGACCTGGGGTTTGTCAAACTTCATTGAATGTGTAGGTTTATCCATGACATGCTCGCAGACTGCAGACTTGTTTACGCGACGGTGTTTGACATCAGCTATATGTTCTTTGACGCGGGTACAAATACTTCGCTTTGTTTGTCCAATATAAGAGAGACCGCACTCACAGTCAAGCTTGTAAACTCCTGCATCCTGTAAGGGGATGTTACATTTCACGGGTCTCAGGAACTGAGAAATCTTCCTCAGGGGCTTGAAATAGGTCTTGATAGATGCACGCCTGAGGACTCTTCCGATCTTGTCTGTAACACCTCTCACGTAAGGTAAGATGGCAGGTCTTCGCTCGACTGTAGGTGGTTTCACACGGGGTCTGCGGCGTTGGCGTGGAATCCTCAACTTATTCGCATGTAGGACTTGCTTTATATGCTGAAGTTCCCCCGCCAGATGATTACTGTCGCAGACACCATATGCTCTCTGAAACAAAGATTTGCCCACGGTAGCTAACTGGCTAGGATGGTGATGGGAATTACCATTGAGGTACCTATCTGTATGGGTTTTCTTTCGAAATACAGTATGGCCTAGGGTGTTATTAGGATTTCTTTTAATTAAAACATCTAAGAAAGCTAAAGTACCACAATTCTCTTGTTCCATAGTAAATTGGATCTTAGTACTAAAAGAATTAAGATGGTCCAAGAAAGAAGGTATGCTATCTTTAGGTAATATTGTGAAAGTATCATCAACGTACCGTTTGAAAATCTTCGGCCTAGCTGGGGCCATGGGTAAAACTCGCTCCTCGAAGTCTTCCATGAAAATATCGGCAACAACGGGAGATACCGGGGAGCCCATCGCTATACCGTCAATTTGTAGGTAGAATTCATTATTCCACAATAGATAGCCTGATGTTAGGCAGTGTTCTAATAATTCTGCATATTCAATGGACATATTATGTTCCCTTAGCTTCCTACGTACAATTTCAATGCAGTCTTTTACTGGTAGGTTGGTAAACAGCGACTGAACATCAAAACTGACCATGGTGTCATCATCAGTTAACCGTAGATCTTTGATTCCACTGATGAAATGGTATGAATCCTTCACATGTGTGGAAGTATTCCCTCTCAATGGTGACAGTACCTTTGCCATGTGTTGAGCCAGTTTGTAGGTTGGTGTGTCAATCTGGCTAACTATGGGACGGAGTGGGGTGTCAGCCTTATGTATTTTTGGTAACCCATACAGTTTTGGTGGTTTCACGGCGCAGGGCACAAACGCACTTACATCAAGTTTCAGCGTATCGGAGTGCTTAGATATTAAGTTAGTTGTTGTTTTTAATATCTTGGTGGTAGGGTCTTTCTTCACCTTTTTATACGTGCTTTCATCCGATAGTAAGTCAGTTATTTTGCTGTTATAATCTGACGTATTCATGACCACCGTCGCGTTACCTTTATTTGCACGGAGGATGACTAATTCAGGATCTTCGCGGAAGGTCCTCAGCGCGTTATATTCATCTCGAGTAAGATTCGGTCTGGGCTGTTTATTTGAACGCAATATTGACGAAACGTCTTGGCGTATTGCCTCCAAATCTTCCTTTCTCATGTTGTTTTTAACTAGACAATCCTCAACGTTACAAATAATTTCTTCGTATGGAACACGACGAGGAGCCACTGCGTAATTCAAACCCTTTTGCAAAACTGAAAAAGCAGACTGATCTAACGTTTTGTTCGATAAGTTTATTACAGATTGAGTATGTGTTTGATCATTTGACAGTGACGTTGACGTTTCGTTACTTGTGCACTTCAGTTTAAGTTTATTAAATTTTTCAATCTGTGTTTTTTGGGATTGTTGAAATTTAAATTCTGATCGTTTATTTGTAATTTCAATGCATTTATTAAAATCAGATCTGCTTAACTTTACCTCCATTAAGATAACTGCAGTTGCAAGCCCTACGAAATACCGATACAGTGCTCTCCTTATTAAGTAATCATATCACTATTGAAATCCTCCATTTTAATTTACCAATTTATCCGTAATCCACGACTACATGCTATGGAACTTGCGATCAAAAATGTAAACAAATCTTATCATTTGCCATTACTAAAGAAAATCAAGTTGTTTTAGACAAAAGGAAAAGGATCTTGCCTTTTAAGAATGTCTATTATTAAAATGGTATATTAGATTATTATATATAAGCCGCCACTTGCAGTCGAGGTCTCCATTGCAACTTGTCTGTTAGCACCCTAAACGACCGGATCCTATTGCTCGTTTGAACACCTCTTTCGGCTTTGTTGTATAATATAACTAAAAAATAATTTCAGGGTCTACCAGCACCAATGCTCGGCGGTGAACTATCCCTCATCCCCATAGAACAGCTGATACAAGTCGACGACGTACGCAGACCTACTCAAACATAAATCTAGCTATAATTACACGTACGTAATAGTTTAGAATGAAATTGTGATTGTCCCTCGAACATTTTTACGTAATACAAAATTGTGCCTTAGGGTTATTTCACACATGCGATATTTGTGCATCAACGACTTATACATAAAGGAAGAGTTGTAACATGCTACCTTTAAAAATCAAAGCTCTTCACTTTTGATAACATTGTGATTAAGTTTACCTTTATATGGCCCTAAGGTTATTCCAGTCTGAAGTACTGTATTTTTGTTACGAGCTCTACGCACCACGTGCTGTCATATTTTGACAGCAATATCAACGTTCCTTACTGTCTGACTTACAATATCGTTGTACAGCTCTATATTGAAAACAAAAGAACTAAGCAATTTTGAGAAATGCAGTATTAATCATAAACTTATCGTTTATTGCACACAAAAGACATTTCAAGCATTACCGAAAGACATTTTTTCAATGTCACGTCCCTTACATACAAACTGCTAGTGTGATCTGACCCTAAGGGCGGTAAATGAATAAATATAACGAGAACTAATATGCAAGTAAATCTCGGACTACCAAGTTCTTAATATTGGATTAAATTGTTGCCTGATACATAGCTCTTAATGATATTATCTATAGTTATACCTACTATAGGAACATTATTTACTCGTTGCAAACTTGGTCATCGGAGCGGGTTAGCGATAATGCGCTCCCTCTCCCACTTAGCACTAGCCTTTTGTAGTGCATTCTATAGTCGATGAATGCTATCGATGATGTTAAATTTTGTTGCATAAAATGGAAATAAAAAATATTTAAATAGCACATTATTGATAACAATACGTCCTTGAGCCCTAATATTAGTTCTGCCGCTAAAATGCGATTTTTACAAAAACTATCCGTTGTGACAAACAGTAATGGTATTAAAATAAAAAAAAGTTTAACTTAAAAGGTACCGCACCGATTTGATTTTATTGAAAACGGGCATGTGCGTCACGTGCTCACGCAGCGTACGTCACTAAACAGGTGAGAGAGAAACCGCAATATCGCTGTCCTGCTCCCATGATTTGTAACCGAGTCTGCAGCGGGTAAATAATCTTACTATAACTTAACAGGTTTTTTTAAATATATTGGGTAAATATATATTCTGTGTGGAGACAAAATGTTTTTTAAAGATTTAGCCATGTTATTGTTGTTGTGTTATGTTTGAACGCCTTCCACGCGGTTTCCGTATCACACGGTCGAGCATTATCTAGAGTGAACTGGCGCAACGTAGTACTTAAACACGGTTTCAAATTCATATTTGAGGCTATCAGCGTAAAAGTTGTTTAACCTGTGGGTTTTAATTTTGTTTTATACAAATTTTAAATTATACTACAGTACATAATTGTAAATTTATTTATATTTGACGGCATCCGTGGTCGAGTGCGACTCATCCGTAGAACAAAGATCTATGTGCAAGACTACTTGTTCTCAGGACATAGTACATTTCGTTCGTTCTTCTTCGCTGTGGATGTCAGATTGACCGTTGATCGTTTTTATATTTCCGAAACGAAATAAGATATATAAATTTTCAGAACACCTTTACGTAAGCATTAGTTTGAATGACCAAATTACGTACTTATTATAATAAAATAATTATGTACTTTAAAATTATTTAATGTTGTCGAAAAAAAAAATGCGTGTTACACCACTTTTGCGCTGATAGCCTCATTTCTTATTTGACTTGTGGTGGGACTTGAACATGTAGCCAGACCTTTATACCAAAAGAACTTAACGACTGTCACAGAGTCTCGTATGAAAGTTCTTAACGTTCTGCTCCACGTTATTAACTGGTAAAGACTGGTTCTATGTGGAAACCGTTGTCTATGAAAAGGGCCTTATTCTTCTTTGGCCGGAGTTCATATTCGACTTCAGAATACAAAGTAAATTAGGTTACCCATTTAAAAGTATGGTTAAATTTTGCTGCTCATCATTTTCAATAGTTTCTCCTACTGGCAACACAGAAAATTAATGTCAAGTTGGCTTAAAAGTCAAAGTAACCAGAACCGTAAAATCTGTTATTTAAAAAAATAATAAAACAATACAGTAAGGGCTCCTTCAAATTAGATGCTTATAGAAGCACTGCAGCCGCGCCGCTACTAATTTTCATACAATATTTAGAAGCGCAAGCTCAGTAGCAGCGCCACTGCCGTGACACTCCCACGCCACTTGCAGTCACAATTGGGGGACTAAAAGTTAATGAAACGCAACAGATACGCCACTGCAGTGCTTCTATAAGCGAAGACGCTTAAATTAGAACTTTTAAGGCGCCCTTAGGATCTAAGAGTGAAAATAAATGAATGAATTTATTTGCCTAAAATGTCATGTCATGTCAACGAATTTCTTCCTGTATCATGAGTTTACAAAATATTTTATTATGAGCGCTTTTCAAGATGCAAAAATTGTCAAATATTTTACACGAACTCAAAACTCGTGGTAGAGATATTGTATTACTCGACCAATAAAAATGAAATCCAGCGAAAGAGGAATGAAATAATTACAATATGTCTTTGTACGGCTTTTTACGCACTTAAAAATGAAAAAGCAATCATCAGACAATAAATAATTTGTTGCAATTGTATAGTTACCTTACATTGTTTTTATGCAATTAAGGCGATTGTCCACCAAAGTGAGAAAAAATATCGTCTGAGCAATCGCAGGCTAAAACAAATCTTTTTTCCCACTTTGGTATATAATGGTTCTCAGTAATAGGTTTAGCTTCATACATAACTTATAAGTCTAGTTAGATATACGTCTATACCCTAACTTTTCTAGCACAGCTAGATTTCTTCACTTTCCCCTCATAAGTAGATAAAACCACTCAAGCATGCGACATGTTGACAGTTTCAAATTTACGATTTTACTTGCTATGTTGTACACCTTAGCGGAGAAGGTTTTCAACCCAGTTAACAAAGTATAAGTTGCAATTTGATTAGTTATTTTCAGAAAGAGGAGACGTCTAAATGGTTTATTATCGTTTAAAATATTTATATCTGAAAAGAATACAAATTCACATAACGAGAAAAACAAGGTATCACAAAATGTCTACGGAGAGTACGTGCTAATAAAATATTCCAATTAAGGTATACAGATAAAATTTCGTGTTCTATGAAAAAACAAAAGCAAGGCCATAATCAAGTATTGTACATCAATTGCCTTGGTGATACGTTAATAGCAATAACAACTTATAGAAATAAAAACATCAAACATCAAAATAGCGAGAAATTCATGATGTGGAATTTTAATTTCTTATTGAATCATTGGAATGATTGTATTTCCTTAATATCTTTTGGTAATTTGTTGTATGTTTGAGCTCCTTCGTACATTATGTTTTTATTTCCATAATCGTCCAAAATGACGATATCCTAGTGATCGTTTAACTACATTTACGCTCTGCTCTACTTTGATAAACTGCCTCTCTTTAAGCTAGTAAACGGACGGCAATTTAAGTTCATTTCGTTATTAATGTACGTAATCATAAGTTTCGATAGATCGTTAAAATGGCGTCTTTTTTTGTTGTTTTGGCTTCTTGAATTGGAAAAACAATTCGAGTTATTTTTAAACGTCGAGTATATAACCAGAAATGGAGACGAAATGTCATTTAATTTGTTTGAAAACTATTCTGCCATATCATTACTGTGACAACTGCGCTCCGATTGGCTAGCCCGTGTTCGAATCAATTGGCGGGTGTCGTCAACTGCTTCACTTCAAATCGACCAGTTAACTTGAGCTTTGCTATAATGGACGAAAATTTGTAAAATTACATATTTAATTACCGGTGAAATGTGATTTCGTTTGTTTTGCAATTAGATGTTTTGCTGTTTCTCCTACACCAGCGAATAGAACAGCACGGCATTGTTAGAGATATTATCTTTATTACAATAAATACAGAATATTTTTTGGAATATACGGAGACGTACACACAGGTCAGTAGTTGGCCTGTCTATATTTCAGTGCAAACGAGAGTTGATATTTATAAAAGCTGTATCGCTAATGTGTTACCAGGAATATATGGCCCTTATTTCGTCTCTATTTCTGGTTATATACTCGATGTTTTTAAAATACTAATCTCAGGACTATATTACTAACATCATAAACAACAACTTCTGTCCCATGACTTGTTTCAAAACATAATAAATTTACCAAAAATAAAGTTTTTTTGTACTATCTGACAGTTTTTAGGTCTGTATTTGGAAGAATAAGTTCAAACGTGCAAGCGTCCACCGCGACGACTCCCACCTCCGTCCTGCACGGAGTTATTACCGGTTCGTCTATTTATTTTTGTATGAAAGTAAAATCTGATCAATTATTAAAAGTCATGGAACAAATGTTGTTGTTTATGATGTTAGTAATATAGTCCTGAGAGGTTGTCAGGTTTTTAAAATAACCCTGTATATAAATGCGAGATCAATGTAAAGTAAACCCCCTAAATGTAAGACTGATGTTTTGAGTGAAATTTTAAATTCAATAAATACAGAAAAACCAAAAAAATTATCGACTTCATAAACTTAAACAGTGAACGCGTTTCGAAATGTATAGGATTTAAGGTTCCTTTCTGAATGCCAGGCGGGTTTTCGAGTTATATTACAAGGTACTACTTGGTGCAACGGGCAAGGTATTGGATGTTAACTTGTGACACATATTATTCACCAAATTTTCTTGAAACGTCTTCCATATTTTAAGATAAAACAACATGTTGCATGTTAGAATGTTGAGGATACTGAAGGTAATTAAGAAATTAGGTATTACATTCCAAAACTTTGTTCTTTCAAATATATATTGTAGTGTATTATTATTTTGAACGTGTACAAACACAGTCAATTATTATTATTAAATTTATTTAAACGGATATGTTAATGCGTTGCTTGTTAAAAAATAAAGGAATAAAACTCTGTCCATGTGAATCCATTCAATTCATATTTATAGGCCTTTTTCGTACAATAATTTAATTGGCAAGTGTATGCAGAGTTGTAATCCGTGTTGGATGAAATTCGACTATCTCATACAATATAAAAACCATACACCAATAGTGTCCGCCAGAATGCTTGGTTGACTATGGCGATTCAAAAATTGCTACCTATTGGCTAGTATTTGCTGCCTTTCCTAAATAATTCTGCCCTCGTAACGAATAAGGCAACTTTACACAGCAGTTGTGCCTTTTTTCGTTCTGAGGGCAGAATTGCTATCTGTGATACACAATTTCTAGTACTATCAGGCACTTCTTGATAACATTTTTAATCTTGTTACATTTTTTTGACCAATGTAGATTTTTTTTAGTAGCAGTAGAGCTCCTTGTGAAGAGCTCGTACAGAGACGTACTGCCACCTTACATATTTCTGCCGCCAAGCAGCTATGTGAGCATTACTGCGGTCCGGTTTTGAAGGGTGAGGGTCCTGGTGGAATTACAGACACATGGGACTTTTCAACTTACGTCTCAGGGTGACGGGCGCAGTGGCAGTGCCTCTCAGATTTTTGAGATATAAAGCTCGTGAGTGGCACTGCAACTGTTCAGGCGTGGTCCGCTTACCATCAGGCGCACGACTTGTTCGTCCCGTCACTTACTACCATAAATAAAAAATACGTAGGTGAACTTTCATTCCTGAAACTAGCAAATGTTCGCAGTTATTCGTAATACGTACTTATGGAAAATCTGCACTCTTCATGCTGAACAAAGTGGCGACCAGCCACCCTGATATCAGAATGGCATGTCAACATTTTTTCAAATTTCCCAGAATATATCACAAGTAACAATTATTTAGGAAAGATAGCAAGTAGGTTGCAATTCTTGAATGTACACTCAGTACCAGATGCCACAGGCAACCAGCCATTCTGACGGATACAAATCTCAGTCAAAGATGTAAACTAATGTGTAAACAATGATGTAAAACTGTTTATTAGGATAGGCACAAATCTAGCTTAGGCAGGATTACGCATGTGTGCGTATGTACTCGTTCGTTACAAAATATATAAGTACATTACAAACGTCACATGCGGTCGTTATATTTTATTTTTCAAGACTGAACAAAATTGCGCGTGCGCAATGCACTCCTGTATTTTCCACTGGATTTGTTCCTAGCTAATACAACTGTTTTTCTGTTGACTTGCCAACTATTGTATTACATATTGATTTGTAATATATAAAACTAATTAAAGTACTAAGTAAATCGGTAAAATATTGTTAACTATTACTGTAATATAGGGATATGAGAGAAATAGCAATAGAATTTTATTTCAGCTGCATTATGCAGTACAAGTTTAAGGAAAAAATTTTGGTTGTCCAGTTTCTGCACGTTATGTTGAATTTTTTAAATAAAAGTGGAAATAGAACAAACATAAGAATGTTTTATCGCTTCAAAGCGTGTTATGGCATGCAAGCCGAGTATAATGAGTACTATAATTAGTTAATTATGCAAAATTAAAGACACCAATTAATTTTTAGAACTAATCCAAGTATTGTACAAGAAACTTTGTTAAAATTTTTAGCTGCCTAGCAGGACTTAACGCATTCACTGCCGGCAACGTATAAAAACGTTCACCTGATTTTCGCGCAGTGCCTTGAACGCCAAGATCATACATTTCAAAAACTTCGTCCAGTGATTTCAGTGCATGTATGGGTTTATACAAAGCTGTTCCATATTTCCAAGACGAAAACTTAAACCCATATTAAAAGCGTAATTTAATAAAGCAAGTATGGTAACCCCATACAAACGTAGCAGCGTGACTTGTATGTGTGCGCGCCTGCCGCCGCGTACGGACGCATCATTTGCTTAATCTTGCCATACATTCACGTTGCATAGAGCTGGACTTCCCACAACTTTCATTATTATGCGAATGTGTGCATCCGTATATGGTGCGCGTGCACACATACAAACCGCGCTGCTACCGTACTTCTACGTGTACATGTTAACCGTGAAAACATGCAGAGACCAAAATAAAATGTGTGACTGTTTGTTCATCGTTTTAGTAATGCTTTGCTGATTGCAATTTCTATACTGTCGGTCAGTTAGAATTTCGTATTAGTATATTCTTTTTGGTAACTACTTATGAGACATTTAAAATATAAAACATTAATTTGCATTTTATGTTTTTTTATTATGAACAAGTAAATAAAAATAACTGGAATCCCTGTTAGAGTAATTGGTTCCATAGAGAACAAATAAATGTCAAATTACTATGAACTCAAGGCACTGAGCAATAGACGTTCAGTCTCACATGTGCGTTTGAAGCCCTGACCAGGTTCAGTCTGGCGAAAGTTTGAAAAACAACGCCGCGCGCCGGCTGTGTATGCGTTAATGAACACTATTTTCATCTTCGCTAGTAAATAACTATACGAAATAAAATTTGTAAACTTGCTTCGTTCTTAGTGTTGTGTAGTAGCAATACAAATTTGTTGTTATCTAATTATTTTTTATACGAAATATTGATGAATGTTGCATTTTTAGTAGATTATTATAAGTTTGCAAAAGGATCTCTTGTTTTAATTCGTTACATGAATTTCTAATCTAGGTAGGAATTCAATAAAAATTATACAAGTGATGTAAATAAGCAAATTTAATAAAAATATACAAAATAACAAAGCCACTTACAAAAAATAAGTAGTCAGTGAAAGTAAACCTAATTTTTTCTTGCTTTTTGTTCATCGTGTCTACGGAAGCTTACTTTTTAAATCCTTAACAATTGTGTTAAAACTATTTAACCTTACAACAGCTGTGTTGAGTTGTGCAAGACATTAACAAGAAAAATAAGCTATACATTTAAAAACTAGAGGCACATAAAGGCACTAATTCAAGCAAAACAAATGTAAAATAAGTTCTCCTACTTTAACGTTCGTAACTTATTTTACGCATTAGTCGTAAAAAGACTATATTACTCGTATATTATTAAAAATATTAAGCTTGCAACTGTTGTGGATATAAGTAACATGACAAGTTTAGTAAAATGAGTATAATACATTTTATGTAAATTACGTTACCAGACTAATATTAGCATAAAGAAATAGTACCTACTTCCATAAATAGTAGTACCTACTTTATTTAATAATATTTCCTCCTTTTAAAACCATTATTCATGAATCTTTGATACACACAACATCTTACTTCACTGTTGTTGTACGATTTTATCTTTTCTAGAAGTTTTCTGTACTCCTCTTCATATCCTTCTTCGCATTCTAAAGGCAAAATGCGGGCTACTAGCAAATATATTTCGGCCATGTTTAAGTTCGTCAAGCTATCCGCTATAGAAATGTACATGTCAAAACAGTTAATACTGTTGATATTTAACATGTTCTGCAAATTTACTATTTTACTATCGATTTTATCAGCAATTTTTTCAACAAACGATGTATGGTAAAGTCCTTTTTCCACTAGATCATGCACCAAGGCACCAATCTCGTTTGCAAAGTTAAGGCTCACATCTCTAAGTATCTCAGTCTTCCGGCTGTGCTTTTCTGATTCATACTTAATTTTCTCTCTACCAAAATCTGCAACTTTATTAATGATCATAGTCAATTTCAAATCCCAAAATATCAAATAAACTTCTTCAACAGGCAAAACATTAAGCAGGTCTTGCAAAATTGAATCAAATATGGCATTGGATTTGGAGTACGAATCCCGCTCTTCAGTATTTTTCTCTACAAGTCTGTTGATAAAATCATGACATAATTGGCGCATCGTAAATATTTCATCGTTCACTTCATTCCACTTCTCTAGACACTTTTGTAATATTAATTTAACCAATTTTAGGTTTGTTTTGTTGCCCTCTTCATCAGTGACTTTTATTATAAGTGTCGTGACTAGATCCCACTTTGCAGAGCAAATCGATTGCTCTTCCAGGTTTTGTTGTTCCATCAACACATCTCGAATGTGGTCTTCGATTACTGACAGGAGAAATTCTTTATTTAATAATGAAATATTGTCTACCATTCCGAGCAACACCGCACGTTTGCTTTGAGAGCCCTTTGTACTATCTGGAAATTTGCTGACTGCCTTCCACGCAGCTTCATAGTAATCACCTTTGAGATGTTCTGGCAGTAAATAAGCTTTTCTTATAACTCTGAAAGTGTCTTCGTGATCATCTTTATGCAAGTCTAAGGTCATTGTTTTAAACAGCTCGAACAATTCTATTTGATTATTTGGATCTTGATTTTGAATAATTTGAAACATTGATGTGTACATGACCACGCGTAAAGATATGTTTTTGTTCTTTGTCCAAGCTTTTACTATAATTTTTTTCAAATCCTCAACGCTGAAACATTGAAAAGCTAAGCGCAAACCGTGCTTTTGAATTTTCACTGGAGCGTTTATCAATGCCTCCACGAATTGTAAACAGAGTTGTGGCGGGAGATTTGCTACAAAATAATTGAACATTTGTAGACAAAATGGGACATAGTCCCCTTTTACGTAAAGGAGAATCTTTGAAAGAGGCACATTTGGTCTTGCATAAAAAGCATAGCGACAAATCCCTTCTTGAATAACAAGCAACCTTTCATCTATCTCTACGTGGTCTATTTTGGGATTTTCTGGTACATGTTTCATACAGAAATCTAGCTTACGATTTTCATCTGCCAATTGAAATATTCCGTGAATAGCTGTGTGTATAAGCTGTCTAGGTTTGGCTTTCTCAGTTAGACATTGGGAAAAATATTTCAGATATTCTTGAGCGATATCATGAGAGAAGTAAACTTTTAGTTTTCTCAACACTGTAGTTAGCCTGAAGTCTTCATCCCTGCACACAGGACTTTCTGTGATATATTTTTCGATCAATTGAAAGTCACATGCTAGTTTTGCATCTTTTTTCAAGAAACGCATGACTTTATCTCGCGTCATCTTTTTATCAACAAAAAATGCATGATTGGAAAAATCTTCCCATTTAGATTCAATATATTTTGCAACAGCTTCAGGAACATCACTGTTGGGCTTCTGAAAATACTTTATAAAACTCAAGTAGAATTGAATGAACACTTTGAGCTCATAGTGGTAGTATTCGTTAGACGTATCAGCTAAAAGATTTTTTAAAACGTCGATTGAAATTTCACGAAGCCCTTGGTATGTTATTTCTTTCCTTTCAGGATCTAATTTTTTGACATGATCAGTTAACTGTGTTATGGAAAAACTAGTGCGAATCAAACCTTTCAAACAGACTGGAAGCCCGTTTTGTGTAAAATCTTTGCCTCTAAGGATACTGTAAATAATAATGAGTGCGTTAAATTTATCTTCATAAAAACTAGTTTTCACACTTCTCATTAGCTTAAGAACAATGTTAAAGCAGTCTTCTTCAAAATCTAAAACTGAATGTTTGTCTAAAAGTACAGAGATGAATGAATCTTTGTATCGCTCATTTGCATGTCTATTATAATAATATTCAAGAAACTTCAGTATTTGATCCTTAGTTTTTGCTGTTTCCACTACAGTCTCAAGAATTCTACTACGTTGGAGTGCATCAGGTGTAACTAGAATTTCTTTTGTCATTCTTTCAAACGCCTTGTCAAAGGGTAAAAATTTGTAATATTGATAATTATCGTCATCATTAAGTGCTAAGTGCTCCAAAGCCCATAGCTCTCTTTCTTCTTCTGTCATAATTTCATAATAATCAAGAAGGTAGAAATCTGATTTCATCTCAAATCTCTCACCAGGATATTTATCAGAGAAGATTTTTTTCAAAAATTTAAACTTTTCTCCAATTGCAAGGGCATCAATGATTGATCTATATTTAGAAATAAATATATTGCTCCAAAAATGATCAACATTCTCCGGTAATAGAGCTTTCAAGTAATTTTTAGCTTCCTCGGAGGTGCTGTGCTTTACCAATATATTTTTATTAATTATTGGTATATAAAGACGTGGTTTATGAAGTACTCTTTTTTTATGATTCTTCATAATGTCTTTGGATATTCTTAGTCCAAGACATTTGGGTTTATCATCATGAACCTTGGAGTACTTTTCAACGACATCCAAGTACTCCTCACTAGAGATGGAGTACATATGTCTGAGTTCATAGAAAATAGCGTTTCTACCATTCTTTTTTTCTTTTAAATATGCATGAACCAATTCAAAAGAATCACCAATGAAAAATTTTAAATTATCATCCAAATTATTCAACATATCCATTTGAGTTTGAATTGCATTCAATTTAAAGCTTTCTGATGTATGTAGAAGAAATTTTGTGGCATTATGGTATAAACATTTGCTCACGCAATATATGTAAAAGCATTTAGAGCGCTTTTCGTTTGTTACATTATTAGAGATGTTTGTTAATAGTTTACGTTTCATTTTAATCGACATGTATGGGAAGACGTTGTGTTCAAGGTAGTCCACATTTATTATATGAGAGTATTTATCATCGTACATCCAATTGTGTTTAAGTACCCTTATAATGTGGAAGCTATCTCCCGATTTCAATACTTCAATGAAATATTCAATATTCTTGTATTTTGATGCCAAATCAATCTTAAAAAGTTTGTCCACATCTGATGTTTCTGGATTTTGTTTAATTTGCTGAAAATCTATGCGTTTATTGGCAGCTTCATTGACTTTTGTGTTGAAGTCATGTTGGCGTTGACCCAAATTTGTGCCTGTTAAAATCATATTGAACTACCTGTAAACAATGACAGTCATATTATGATATAATCTAATCAATGTGATAAATAATATTTATTTAATGAAAAGACCGACAGCTAATGAAAAAGGAAAGAGAGGACTTTGTTTTACATAAAAAGACTGGGAGCAGCATGCATGCTCTGCTACATGTCAATTAACCGAGAAGTATGCATCGTAACGGATTTTGAAGGGTATTAATGTTATTAGTATTTGTTCATTAAATGTAAATTAGTCATACATAATCATAGTCATATCATTTATTTATTAATACCTAAAATAAATGTTATTGGAATAATTTCAACAGATGGAATTATTAATATTCCATGTTTATCTCAAGATCTCAATGGGTAAATTAATTGGTTTATGTTAGAAAAACAATGAGTCCTCAACAAGGCGAGGAAGTGTGCATACCTCTAAACTCATTTTACTTAACATCCAAACATATTGTTGTGTGATCCAAACTCACAGCACATTTTTGACCGTATAACGACCATATTATGACTACTATAATATTATATGATAACCTACTTATAGTCTAATTTATTATTTGGAAAATGTTTCTAGAAATACATTTTTCTCACTCAATTTGCGAAATGTCTCAAGTTTTTCATAAAGCATGCGTTATACATGTTGGTATAATGGTAGTTTTCCACCGGCGAGGCGTAACGAAACGACGAGAGACGAGAATTGAAATTGGCCTATTTCCATCAATAATTGTCATTAATCACTCGCTCGCGCCTTGATTGAGGGTAAAGATTCAGTGCTGTTTGGTTCATCTAGCAATAAATATGCGATTGCAGTAACGTGTCGCGTAAATTGTTATTATTAAATATGTTCACGAAAGAAGAACCAGATGAAACCATCTTTTTTTAAATCTCCAATCGAAGCGGAGCAGATTCATACATTTTTCTTTACATTAATTTTGGGCAACTAAATTAAAGTATAATGAATATTTTTTCTACTAATTGATGATACAACTAATACCTAAACATTACTAATTTAATATTTTCTTTCATAAATAGCATTAAATAATTGAAACATTTTGATTTAAATCTATTAATTACACGAACAAAGGCATGTTTTGGTATTATCACAATCCATATTATATTTTTAAGGTATGGAGATAATGCAGGTGTATGAATGTGCTACCTGTATCAAACTGCCCCGCTTCCCCCTACCTACAATCTCGCGATTGATATTAATAGCCATCGAGTACTCGCGAGATCACGTCAGAAATCGTGTTTCCGTTGCAGAGTATATATAATACATGTACATATAATACTCCATGTAGACAGTAGTACGATTCAATATTACATCAACAAATATTTCTCCATAAACAAATATTTCTCTTTTAAATAATTCTCGCCTCCAGACCATTTCCACCGAAGATGGGCTAGGAGCGTCTCGCCTCACCGGTGGAAAAAGTACCTTAAGAATATCGCAACTTAAAGATCATGGTTATTAGTCTTAGACCTCGACCAGGCACCATAAATCACAACTGTCACCGGCCCAAGCCTATTATAGTGGCCATTTAGGAAAAATAACAATAATTACCGCACAAATTAATAATGAATATATGGTGAATAAGACGATATTTGAAAAGATATATTTTTGAATGTACAGCCTGTGCCAAGTAAGTCTTAATTTTACACGCCTGTTGCCATAAAAGTCTAATGTCTCGTTTGTTGCTCGACCCATAACAATGACTTTTACTATAAATAATTTCGAAAGCTTGAAAGCGATTTACGCGACGAACTTGATATACAACTATGCGCCCTTGTAATTTATTATAAATTAATGTATAGATAGCACAATCCGACCGAAGACGATCATATTTTGTAAGTATCATCATAAAACCATTTTCGCCGGTTATACGGGCTAATGCTTTGAGATAGTAGAGTCCGTCGAGTAACTTTATTGCTCAGTAAACTACAAATTACAAATCTAATTTAAACGAAAAATTTAGACAATACTCACCGCTCGATATCAATATGGCTATATTATCGCTCGCACAATATTACATACTATTACTATTAAAGCGTTCAATTCATCAATGAAATGAAAAATAAGTGAAGTCGAAGAAATAAAAACGTACGTGCAGTAAACCCTCAACCCTTGTTTATGAATTAATATGAATGCAATTCATTCATGTATATGTTGTTCATGTTGTCTTTGAATGAATGGCTGTTTTTTATTATTAATAGTTTTGACCTGGATACAAGTCTTTTGAGCCATGTCTTCGTTTAATTATCGGGATCCTCAATAATATTTTCCATTTTGGTTCTAATACGATTTTGTTTTCACTTTCTCTTAAATAACTTAGTTTACTTATTTGGTTTTTCAAACAGTCTTAAGTGGCTGGAGTCAACATTTATGTTTTCACTTTCACTTTAATCACATTCTCTCTTATCACTTTGAATAAAAATTTTGAATTCACAATTATCGGAAATTTTAGAATAAAGTTTTTGTAATTTGGTTTAAAATAAGGAAAATAGTTCTAACTTTCTTCATCACTATTTCTTTCTACGTTTTTTCATCATAATATATTTTAAACAAAAATAATCTTTGTAAAAGCTGTACTTGTACCTTCAAAAGCCCGCCATTGAATGAATGAAGGGCTGTGATGCAATCATAAACGACTCAATCACTATCAGCATGGCAGTCCGCCGCGCAGCCAGGAAACTGCTCACATACTATTCTGCGTATGGCCTATGTATGGAGAGTCGCAAGACGCGTAGCAGGATTGCTGGATGGCTTGCACGCTGCGACTACATTCATAATTCTGCATTACGCGGCAGACGGAATGCAGGATAATGAATGCCCCCTTTTATGCTGTGTTACCATAGATCATACATCATACATCTGTGGTTCCCACCGTGTCCCCACGCCCATCCATCGCGCCGCGCCTATTTGTATGGGTGAGTTCGTGCTACAGGCGTGGCGCGTATTCGGGTTTGTGTCCGGGAGCTCTAAACTGTAATAAAAAAAATAAAAAACCTACTTACACTTTTACATAATTAATCCATTTTTGCCAAGCCTTCTCATAGAACACTATACTCGCAAGGAAAGCCTCCTCCACTCCTCACAGTTCATAGCCAGTCCCTTGACCTCTTTATTCCATATATTATTTTTACAAAATAGTAATAAAATTTTGCCGAACAATAGTGCTGCCATAATAAACGTGAGTTCTTATTTTTGCGAAATTTATAAATATTAATTACCTATATCTTTACTAGTTTAAATTTTGAAATGCAATGATAATACAACGATGAAATTACATTATTGTTTAATAATATGCATATTAATGATATAATGCGAAATAATAGTAACCAAACGAAAAGGCTACACAATAGTTAATCATTTGCTTTGCTAATTATTTGACCCAAAAGCTTAACGATAGGAGTGAATATTATGTGATTATTATTATTATTATTAAATACGAACATAATAATCATTTTTCAGAATGAAAAATAATAAAAATAAAATGTTTTTGTTTTACCACAGATATTAATTATAATATTTCGACCTTAGAATAATCGCAACTTAGAATAATCGCAATTTCTACCGTTTGCCATCCTATCAATGTAGAAAGCTCGTTCAATTCATTCATTCGTCAGTCTACAATTTGACAATTTCATTTGTCTATGAAAATAAATTGACGTCGCACGCTTGTGTTGAGACAATATTGATGTATTTTATTGAAAATATTTAGGAAAAACGGATGAAATAGGTGAATATAAGGCGATTAATGTAGTTTAATGCTATTGTGAGCTATTTCATTAGACAATTTTTATTTAGCGCTCTGTTTTTTGTTAATGTATAATCCATTGTACCTACATGTCACCGGGGTCGATCTCTTTAATCAAAATTATCTGATCTGTATAAATATTTGTAGTACACAATACTTGCCTTTGTTTTAACTAGTTATAGTGATAACGCAACTGTGTGTATAATGTGAGTTTTTGGCGACAAGATCTCATGTGCAGTCTTTTTCTTTAGTCAATTGTTGCGTTAGATTGAAATCGATATTCAGTCGTTGTAATTGATTGCCGTACATGTAACGTTATTTGTTTGTAGAGCTACAATGGATGTCGATGATTCTGCGGTGGACTTGAGTGTCAGGTAATTTTAGTTGTATTTAAATAATTTGAATGATTGAAAGTACCTTTTCATGTTTATATGTAAAATTCATGCATGGTATAGTTTTAAATGGTTGTAAACAAATAATGTATTAAAATTACGTGAATGTATTATAACTGAAAAAAAAAAAAAATTGCTAATTGGCGAAGCTGGTTTGCCTTAAATAAATATGACATTTTGACTTCGGCAGTGTTAAAGCTTCACCGAAGATATCTGATGGCAATGAGTTTTACCTGGCCCCTGCCAGTTCTGGTTTGCGTAAGAGCTACGGACTTCCCAGGTAGTATAGAATGATTTTGGCAATTTAAAAAAAAATTGATGATATCAGCATGCACTTGTATTGTAACGTGTTCGCCTATGGGTGTCCCAATAAGCTAGGCTAACCATGTAACATGAATACCAGTCTCAATTTGGAACTAAAATATTGAATAGTGTGAATCCCAAAATCCATTTTCAAATTTTGAAATGAGTTTCAATTTAAAAAATTCAAAATTACATCATCAGGGGCGGGAATAGGCATAATCAAATGCAACAACTTTTTAGGAATAATATTAGAATTAACTTTTCTAACAAAATTCCAATCACTGGTTCAGGAACATCACACAATTTGTTTTATGTGAATTCTTAAAAATTTTTCTATGGTCATAGCCTGAAATTACGTTTTGGTACACCCAATACAACATTATAATCTCTAGAGCATACAAATACTGTAGTGTGCTGACAAAAGCTCAACTTGAATAAATTAGCATATTGTTTTAGAGCCCTGCCACCAGAGCTTAGTGAGCTCCGAGCTTTAACTGCCAGTGGATTGACCATCACGCCAGCTCAGCCACCGCCTCCTGTAAGTTATATTTATCATTAATAATTATGTATGTAAAAGTGGCGTTTAAAACCATTCAATTTAAATAATATTATTTTACAGTATATACAGTTTTATTTTGTTTTCTAATTAGGACAATTTTTAAACGGGAAATCTGAAATCATAGCAGTTACATTGAAAATATCATTCAGTCTGTTATATGTATAATATTGGCTTAATTAGTCAAATGATTGTGCTAATTATAAGATTTACATTACAAAATTTTTGCACACTCAGTCACTTTATAAGCCTACGACTATAGTATTGGGAACATGTGAGGTCCTGGTACATAATTAGTGATAGAATAATAGTATAATAATATATGAGGAAAACAATATAATATGAGGATCTTTGTTTTGTAAATATTTGGGGTTGTATTGACTTGTACAACCATGGTGCAATAAATATTGGTGTTGGAAAGGTAAAACGTCTAACATACATTTGGAAAATATTACAGGAAAGAGATTTCAAGAAATTTTTTTACCAACAAAAAATTGTAACTATAAATTTATTTCTTATATGGAAAGTAGAAAGTTTATAATAATAACAAACCATAATTGTATAACAAATCAAAATTGGAGTAAGATTTTATTTTCTTAAAGAAATTACTTAAATCACTCTCTTGTGATATTTTCCAAATGCACATTAAAAATTTTGCCTTTCCAGTATCAATATTTATTTAAAATATGTACTAATAATAGTGTGTGTGATGTCACAAGCATAATGGCATATTTACAACTGATTGCACAATTAGAGTGGTGTCTATCCACTAGAATTTGTTTGTTTTACTTCACACTACAAAATAAAATAGTTCTTATATGTTACACATAGGGTAGGAATTAAAGCTCCGAAAAGTAAATGAGTTTATTCAAATTATTAATATTACTGCTGTATTTATTAAGCTACTGAAAACATTTGTGAAAATAAATACGGAAACATCGAATGAAATGCTGAAAGTTCCGAAAAATCTTTCTGACGTAATTCTACTTTACCAACTAAATTTGTGTTTTACTGAAAATTTTTGATAGCCGTTTTTATCCTAAATCACTTGTTATAAATTTAAAAGCGATCTTATACTATTATTAAACTATTCCATCATATGGAAATACTATTATCAGTAACAACATAAGAACTCCTAAGAAATTTCCAAATTTACTTGTAATCAATCATTATACATAATAGTTACATGTTGAAAAAAATATTCTTAAAGTGATATAATTAAAAAAAAAATTTGAAACTAAGTAGACGGGGGCGCTCGGGAATGAATAGTGTTGTTCTATTCTTCTGAATAGAAACTAATTTTTCTCATTGCAGAAGTCTTTGTAGACTTCTGCAATTATATAAAAAACTGACCACGAAGCTTAAGGGTATCGCTTCGCGTAGGCGTTGTCTAGAAAGATTTCCGTGTCCATATAAAATGTTCAAAGGGATAGCATTGAACCGAAAGGTCGATAATACAATTATCGAGATTAACAATTTCGATGAGTAAATATTTCGGAAGTTTAGTATATTTATTTGTTTTATTATTTGGAGGTAATCTTTTTCGTCAAATTATAATTTCAATAAGCGATAGTATATTCCTTGTTTATTGTTTTTGTATATATGTATTTGTTTTTAAGTAACTCATTTTAACGCAACTTAGAATTACAGAAAGTGCAATTTAATTTTTTGTTCGGAACTTCTATTATTTCCCTTACACATAAAGTACGGCGTTTCATAAAATGCGCAAGGCGCAGGAAAAAAAAAATTAAATGACGCAAATTAATTAAAATTATTTTTTACATTGCTAACACATGCTTTGGAAGATTGATAGAGTAAGTATAATATTTTTATTTTTGTAATAGGCATTGACAAATGATAGAATTAAAGGCGAATAAAATTAAAAAAGCTTATTATTGTTGTAAATTATTTAATTGACAATAGCACATTTTTCCAATAATTTCTTCATAAAATTTGACCTTGTAGACGCTGTATTGTTGAGAAAAAAAAGAGTAAAATTGACTTTTGAAAGGCCTGCCCAGGAAGCTGTCGTCTGTTTGACATATCTCCTAAATAATAACCGACATTATGTTTGATGAATAAATTAGTGTCAATTTTTTTTATTTAATGGACTTGGGCGCTATTTAGAGTTTTTTACTCATTATTCCAAGCCATTATTTAATATTTTTTAAATGTATATCTCATATCTACTTTGATTTGGTACAATATTTTCTAAAATAATAATTTTATTAGATAGTTATGTATTATACATAATAAATAATAACTCAAAAAACACAAATTCAAATAAGTTTAGTATTGGTTTTTCTCTTCATTAGTCGTGACGTCACATCGACGAGAGGAAAAAACATTATATAAAAAAAATAAATGTGCTACATGTTTGATGTAGATGATTGATGTAGATATCAGTCATAAAAAATATACTTGAAAAAAGTTGCTATTATCAATTGTTAATAAAATGTTTAAACGCATATTAAGAATAGTAATGTGTGCTGTTCTTCGGGTCTTCTTTCAGGACACTACCAGCAAATGAATAGTCGAGAACCATTGACTTACAATTATATGGACGTCGGGTCCGCGCTAAAAAGTGTCCGCACTTGTAAGGCGCTAAAATCGTATACAGAGCGCGACACTCCGCTTTAGTCTTCATTTGTTCTACTGACAGCGCGATACTGCGATGACATTACAATTTAAATTTCGAATAGGTTGACTTGGGACATTTTTTTCGTGGTTTTTGTATTAGACCCGTCGTCCATTTATTTGTAAGTCAATGTCGAGAACTTAAAATGTTATTATTGAACATTGACGAATTTGCCGGTTTCTTTCGCTAGTTCACCACTACTAAGCCAGTGGTGAATGAAAGCTAGTCTGAATTTCATAGTGAAACGTCAAACCCTGTACTTGTTCATAACTCAACTGTTTTTTTTTTCAATTTCAATTTACGTATGATGTTTATTTGCCGAAAGTATGATTTTCACAACTTAGTAAGTCTATATAAAAGACAGTCCTCATACTTAGAAAAAATTAACAGACATATGAACAGTTTTTTTATGTTTTAGAGACTACGAAGCGGTTTATTGAATGTATGTACGTGCATGTTATAAAAATTTAAATATGTTGTCATAAAGAAGTAAAAATATAATGATGTTTGAAGATTTATTGGAAATGTATAGAGTTTGATTTTTTAAATTCTAAATTTTGGTTTGGTATTCAAGTTAAACGCTGTAATTTACAGAAACTTTTTTTTTTAATTAAAGAACTGTAATTTTAACTGCTTAAGTTTCGAATACATTGAAAATTAACTTAATTAAGGACTTACTATATTAAATACAAAAGAAATAGCATAGTGTTTGTTAGTGCAGTGAAAAGGAGATCAGCTTGGACCCTAGATTCCTAAGGCGTTGGTTTTACGACAGGAAGTAAAAATAGAATTAATTTATAAGCTAAAAATATAAGAAATTGTTATTAGTAAAGCTGATAAATGATGTAACGGACTGATTTCCGCTATTTATTTATTTTTTATTTAAATTCTAGTGCACACAAGACCTGGGTTCTTAAACATTAACAGTCAACACATAAAATGACAATTAAAAAAATTTGGGTTTTTACAAGTTTATAATTAATTATGAATGTTACATAATTTACACAATTTAGAACATAATAATAGCTGACTAACTATATCCATATATAAAACGTACGCTACTCATCGTAGCGCCTATTTTGCGTAGAGTAGAAGTAAAGTTATTCGTGGAAGTAATATCGTCTCCTTAAAGGTACAACCACATAAGTGACATTCCACAAATCCACAAAAAATCTCCAAATTATGTATCTGTTGTAAGAAAATCACCAAGTTTCTGCAAATAAAACCACATATTTAGTTTAACTTTTTGTTATAGAGTTTCACCTGCAGAAAGATAGTGATTTAATACCGTAACTCTGTAAAGACTTTGTAGAAAATGTCACTTATGTGGTTTTACTTTTAAACAGACGATATATAAGTTGGCATAGGCCTGTGCCCGGAATTAAATAGTCTGAATGCATCATTATAAATTGCTTCATGTGTAGAATTATAGTACCGACACGCTATTATGGCCGTTTTGATGTTTGTCCGCTCATCAAGTTTCGTATTAATTCATAACTACGTTGAAGGAGCTAATTAACGTATATTTTTATCAATAGTGACGTGCTGTAAAATTTAAAGATGTATCATTGACCTACTAATAAATGGACGTCGGGTTCGCGCTAAAAAGTGTCCGCACCTATAGGGCGTTAAAATCGCATACAGAGCGTCAATCGCGCAACAGTCTTCGTTTGTTCGACTGACAGCGCGGTTGTCAATCATGCAGTACTGTATAATAATAACTTGTAAAAATTACTGCAGTAAAGTGTAAAAACAGGATTTTGTATCATATTGTCACTAAACAAATATATTGTGTTATCATAGTTCTCATTTAAAAGTGTTATTTTGTACAGTTTTATAGTATTTAATTTAATTTATATATATATAAATGAATCGTGAGTACAAATTACAAAAACACACAAAATAATCAAATAGCTAACGGTCCTTTTTCTACACATTGCATGCGCAAAAGATGGAAAGAGATCCATTACGTAAATTTCAAGAAGCTTATGTAAACTTCTTGGTCATTTTAAATTGTTCGAACCACAAGCGATTGAAATATTTAGAACAAAGAAACTATAGTCGCTTTGATTTTAATCTTATTTTTAAAATGATTTTTTTTATTAAACGTTAGCAATAACTAACAAAATATTGTTACAAAACAAAAGCTAATTTTGCCTTAGTGAAAAGCATCAAAATTACTCGAAAGCGTAATGGTTTTAATATAAATCGGTTTTCGGAATTACGGATATTTGAGTTTATGTTTAGTTGGAATATCGGTACATTTCTTATAGTACACGCTTATTTTCACATTTGTAGTAATATTGGTATGTATGTATCTGCCCAACTCTTTATTATTTCTCTAAGTGAATTTGTACAAAATTCGACATAATAATATATATAAAAATTAATTAATATTTAGGATAAAGGCTACTCCATTGCTTATGTTCAAGTGATTTTCAGTCGAAGCTAAATAAGGTGCATTTTGTTAAGGTTCCAGTAGAGGCTGAATATGGTGTTTTCGGGCCCTTAAATTGTTGCAAGCAAAATTAGGCAATACTGCAATGATGTTACAATTTAAATTAAATGTTTTAATTTATGGATATTTCGTTACATGTATCTACGTTTGTATAGGTTAACTTCGGACATTTTTTTCGTGGTTTTTGTATTAGACCCGACGTCCATTTGTTGGTAGGTCAATGAGATGTATAATAATTTTACGACGCAATTTGTTTCTCGAAATTCGAAATTTTTGAAAATGATGTCTAATACGATCGTCACTTATAGGATCGCTGTCCAGCACAACTCCGGCAAACTCGCGTCTAAGCTCAATGCAAAACAAAGCAGTTTCGAATTGACGATATATTAAGTAAACATTTATTTTCGTTTTATTTAAACTTTTTAATCAGCTAACCCTTATACTGGCTATAAAACTTATAGATGGGGCTCGCATTTGTTTATATTTTTTTCGATAATGAATTGAGATTTGAACTCACAATTATTATCTGTCAAAACGGCCATCATAGCATCATTATGCCGGTGCTGTAAGTGGTGGAATCATAAGAACTATAACAGAATTGTTAAAATGGATTGATTAGGGTTCAAGTGGCAAGCGGGTGCTCCGCCCCCGGTCCGAAGCGCGCAGTTATGCAGAGAGCCCGGACATCGTGCTGCTGCCTGCCGCGCCACCGCACCGCAAGCCCTTACTCCCCACTGCCGCTACTGCGCCTTTCTCCGGTGAGTGAACAGCGTTTGAGGAAAATTTAACTGCGACTACGGGTGTCATTTTGCGAAATGAGTAAGTAGGTCGTAATTCGACTGAAAACTTGTTAAACTTGCTCAACGGAGGTTATACGGAAGAAAAAAAACAATGGAAGTGCCTTAAGCCTCGATTGCTATCAGAATCGCTGTAACACAATAGGTTAAACACTATTAAATCTTGATAATAATTGGTCATAGTTTCTAATTTAAAAAGATGTAACGAATTCTGGTCTGATAGTTGGCATATTATTGAAAGTTCAATATCTATTGTGGCAAGTTTCGACGTTTTGATTTTATTTTGAAATTTACTTCAATGTGCTGCCGTCTAGCGGCTATTGCTCAATGACTTTGAGAAGATGAACGATTAAGGCCTAATAACGTTCTCCAAAAAAACCGAACACATTGCAGCTGTATAAGGTTTATTTTCGTTTGTTATAAAAACTACCACCACCTCAGACAGACCTCTTTTCCTCATTCTTTAAGGTAAGTTTGTAAGGTGTGTCTTTAAAACGTTAAGAAGAGAGAATACTTTACGTTTTCCTCCTTGATAAAATTGTAGTTTACACGTAAACAGTGTTATTGAGTTTATAATTATTGTTATAAATCATTGACTTACAAATAAATGGACGACGGATCTAATACAAAAACCACGAAAAAAATGTCCCAAGTCAACCTATTTAAACGTAGTGACATGTAAAGGAATATCAAAAAGCTAAAACGTTGAATTTAAATTGTAATGTCATCGCAGTACTGTCTAATTTTGTTTGCTTCGCTGTCAGTCGAACAAACGAAGACTAAAGCGTGAATGACGCTCTGTATACGATTTTAACGCCCTATAAGTTCGGACACTTTTTAGCACGGACCCGACGTCCATATAATTGTAAGTCAATGTTATAAATGTATAAAATAATACTGTATGAAATTGTTATTAATGCTGGTCTCAACCTTAATGTATGGTTAGTGAATGTTGGGTGTGGCAGAAAAAACATGAAAGTCGGATGAATGCTGTAGAAATAAGATCCTTGCGCAATATGTGAGATATTAGTCTTAAAGATATAGTGTCGAACAGGTTAGTAAAAGAGCATTGTGGTGTTAAAGATGATGTAGTGACCGGTAGGGTTAGCGCGATAGGGCGCGACTTGCGCGAGAGCGACATAAAGCGCGAGGTACTGCTATACTCATAATAATAGCCATATCTCTAGCTTCTATGTCGCTCTCGCGCAAGTCACTGGATAGAGATAGGATGCTTCGATGGTTTGCTCATGTAGAAAGAATGAATGTTGGAAGATTGACGGCACAAATTTATAGAGCGAAAGTAGATCGAAGCGTAAGGTGGGGGAGACCTCGGCGTATATATGTCAGTCAGTTTGTTGGGGTTGACCTTGAAAAAGATCAGGTTAAAAGTACCAAGAATAAACGGGCATATATGACGAGACTGGTGGGAGTGGAGGAGGCGAAGGAGGTTTGTCGGGAGAGTAGCAGGTGGAGGGCCATAGTCTGTCCACCCCGGTGGGAGACAGGCGTGATAATGTGTATGTTGTAGATGTATATGAACATATACAACGATGAGAAAGATGAATGAACATTCAGCATTCTTCATGGTCAGTCTCAGGTATTTGAAAATATCTGAGAAAACTTTGTCCTTTAATTTTTTAGCTGTCATGCAAGAATTGTATTTTTTGTCCGCCAACGACACTATTACTAGGTTCCAAATTGGGGAATTCTTTGTAGCACGAGTACACACAACACCCAGGCTAGAACTAATTTAGCGAAGTTTCCCAAATTTATCCTACTGGGAATAGAACACGGAATCTCTTCACCGAACGCCAACATTGCTAACAGAAATTGAACAACATGAGCTAACTGTTGACCATCATCTTTGATCAGTTGTCATCAGCGTGTCGCATTTGGCAGCTCTATTTCATAAAAATCCACCACAATTCCAGACGTTAGCAGCAAGCTAAACTCCGGCGCAGTGAATGTGTCTATCACTCCGAGTGTCGCGCCGGAGTCGCCGCGCGACCCCCGAGACGAGGAAGAATCTGAAGACGATGAGAATGAACCACCCTTGGCGCTGCCTTCCGGTCATCGGGTACGTGTCTAGCAGTAAACTATTAAATGATGTTGATTTACTTGGTCACTTGTTTGTGACAATTCCATGACGTTAAATTTTAAAACTTTCGTAGTTATTAGTATTAGTTACAGAAACCATGATAATAAACTTGACTATAATTTTTATGACAGATTTAAAAAATACTGTTGCCTTTTTATAGATAAAAAGTGAACGGGATGACAATATTTTTGTTCACTGTTCTAATCAAACTCTATACTTGACCAAGTTTCCTGGTATTTGCATAATTTCCAGGAGCTGTCAAGTGCGGAGATTTGGGAGCGCGAGCGCCGGCTGCGTGCTCTGCGCGAGAAGCTGCGCGGAGAAGAGACGCGGCTAGTGCTGCTGCGCAAGCTGCGGCAGTCGCAGCACCAGCAGCCCCTGCCACCCGCCAAGGTGCGTACGAACTTAAAAGACACCGACAAGTTAACCTAATAATTGCTTAAGCGATCTAACTATGCAGAAATATTCACACATTTGATCAAAATAATTATCCTAAAATTGTTACCCATGAGGCTGTACAGATATTTTCGCTTTTGTTGTTTCAACGTAAAGGAAAACCTGTCATGGTGTTCAATGTTTTGTATTTATGGCAATATTGGTGTCAACTTGTCACCCTTTAACTCAACAACAGAATAGTGACGCGCGACGTGCGTTGCAGGAGTCCGCGACGGGCACGGCGCTGGCGGGCAGCGGCTGCGTGGTGCCTCCCGGCGTCACCGTCACGCCCGCGCCGCCGCCTGCGCACCAGAACAAGGTCAGTGCCAGGCGAGCCTCCTCCTCCTCTAACACCATCATCCTGCATACGCTGGCCTGGTCGCACTGATATAGGTCCGCACGTGCTCCAAATAACGTTAGCTCGATTGTCATTATCCCGAAAACCGATTTATAAAGAAACCGTTATTCTTTCAGGATATGTTGGATGCTTATCGTAAAGAAAATATGGGGCTAGGTTTGTTTTATATTATTCCATATGACCATGAACATTCGAGCAAACATTATTTCCGGCTCCGAATATATTCAGCTTATTAATAATAATCAAGCTCCTGTAACCTTTCCAAACCAACTAACAAGTAACACTGCTAACAGGTTTATTTTCAATTAAAAAAATAAGGGTTGTATTCTAGAACTCCACTCAATGCTCAAGTCAGGATTTAAGTATGGCTTAAAGCACTCGAAATCATACTCAAGTCCCTGCCATGCCTTAGGGTCGTATTTCCAGTGCTTGTGTTTCCAGTGCAATCCTGACTTGAGCATTGAGTAGAGTTCTAGAATACGACCCTAAGTACCATCTCACCTGATGGAAAGTGACAATAAGGTCGACATCTGCTTATTCAGTTTCGAAAAGTCCCAAGTTTAACCGTTCAGGGAACAAGGTATACGACTGCACGTCGCCCAAGAGTTTTAATAAACATTCCAACTTTCTCTGCTATTACAGTTTATCAGTGGTCGGACAATCGGGTGCTTATTTACCTACAAACTACAATCCGCGGAACATGGAATGCGCTTTTACCTAACTACTACTAAAGTAAAGAAATTAAAAAGACGGAAAATAAACGTCATGTAACATTTTCGTTAGCATTTATTATATGATATTGAAAAATGTTTTGTGCTTTAACATTATTTTACCGAAATCCTCGTACTATCATTTTTGAGTTAAATATGACACTTCCAGGTGTTCACAGTAGGTACTGAGATCCAGTTGCCAAATTACTGGGTCATCATCAGACCATTAAGATTATAGGTTTCCGTTACTCTTAAAAAAAAGGACCCAGGAACTGTGTCAATTATCAAGTGTGCAACTCTACCAAAATAAGTATCAAAATTCACTGCTCTAAAGTTTTAAATAATATATATAATCGTTGTTTTGTAGACAGAGCGAAAGCGCCATTTCGAAAAATTTTTCAATGGAGCATACAACATGCTTTGCCGACTCTTTTAAAATATTTACGTTCTGTATTAAAATTCAATTTTGGTTTTAATTAATTTTAAGTTTCAAAATAAAATTTAAAACAGGGCGTAAATATTTTAAAACAGTCGTGAAAAACTAAAACATGCTCCCCTGAAAAACTTTTCGAAATGGCGCTTTCGCACTTTCTACAAAACACCGACGACTATACTAACAAAGAGTTACCCAAACAAACCGAAGAAAAGCTGTCCTACAGCCAACTGCTCACTAGCATGACTGTCCGTAATTGCGGAAATTTAAAGTTATGCCACTTGGAAAGTGACATTGTAATGTGTCCGTAGCGCACGAGTTCGACTGCGTCGTCCAGCCTCGCGAGCGGCGCGTCGTCGTCGCGACGCACATCCAGTCTGCCCGGTGGCGCCACCCTTACGCCGGGACCCTATCGCACGCAGGTACATGACTTTCCGCAGCTTTCTGAACTATAGTAATTTAACTGTAGCACAATATAGTTCTAGTAGCGGTAGAGTAAGTTTTTTCTAAGCCTGGTCCGTAACAGTTGCACTGCCACTCAGAACTTTAAATCACAAAGTCAAATCTTTATGATTTAAAGCTGCCACTGCCACTGCGCCCGACACCCCGAGACATAAGTTGACAAGTCCCACGTGCCTGTAATTTCACCAAAACACTCACCCTTCGAAATCGGAACGCAGTAATGCTCACATTACTGCTTGGCGGCAGAAATTGGTTAAGTGGCAATACAATCACAACATTTTCACAAGGAGCTCTACTGCAAGAACTGCCTACAAGAGAATCCTACCTTCAAGAGGTTTTGAGGGTAAGGGTGCTGGTGAAATTACTGGCATATGGGACTTGACAACTTATGTTTCAGGGTGACAGGCGTAGTGGCGGTGCCTATCAGATCTTTGCGATTTAAATCTCTGAGTGGCTTACCACCAGGCGCGACTGTTTTGGACAGGATTGTAGCTTGGTACCATATAAAAATAATAATAATGTGCTACATAACTAAGACCACCCCGATATCCTAACGATTACGTTGAGGAGATCTCGGTGTGGATTCCCGGGAGCCCCGTTTTGTGTAACGAACTTTTCTAGGTTCTTGTTTGTTAATTTTCCAGCCGTGAATCGAAGTGCTAACCGTTTTGCCACCGAGGTCAGGTGTGATTTACTCACTCGTTATTGCAACCTGTATAAGCTAATGTTTCGGTTCCAGTCGGCGTCCTCCGGTGGCGCCAGCATCACGCCATCGGTGACCATCACGCCTGCGCCGCCGCCTGCCAACCACCAGGCCAAGGTACGACAATTTTGGCTCATTTCAGTCTGTGTTATATATTGAGAGGCGGAGTCCGTTATTTATTTGTTTATTATGTAGCGATCGTATCTGTGATTATACACAGCTTTAGCAACTATTTTTAAATTTGCTATTAAATTATGAAGTGTGGTTCTATAGGACCGTGAGTTGTTTTATTTCATTCTTTCATTAATTCATTCATGAGTTTAAAATTCAATATAGTCAGATCAAACACTGTAAAACACTATATTTCTTAATAACTGAAATTGTACTTATTATAACAATCATTTATTTCGTACTCTTGGATGCATAGTGTTAGTAAAAAACAAAAGGATATGTTTAAAATTTAAGTAGATGTAGTATACGGCAGAAATCGGACACAGAAAAAATTTCTTCGACCCAGTGGGACTTGAACTCACGACCATGCTGCACCGTAGCATTGCTCTTACCACCTGAGCCACAGGTCAAGTTACCGAGTTGTTAGGTCGAAGAAAATGTTTCTATGTGTTCCATCGCATTAATAATCATAACAAAACTAGTGGAGTTATTTCGCAAAAAATCTCAAATAATATACGACAAAGTAATGTAGTGAACACAAGTGAACCTTGAGATTGCGTATTTATTCCCGAACGATCATTACTACTTACAGGATTCTTACCAAGATATGATTTTTTGAAATAATAAGCCACATAATGGTAAAAAATCTGTAAGCAGTGATAATTGACGAATGAACTTAGTGTTAAACGTATGGTATATTCCCGCTAGCCGGCTCAGGATAATTCGTCGGTGACGAGTAGCACGAGTGATGCAGTGAGTATGGGAATGTGATGTTTCTTGTATTGTTGTCATTACTCTAAATAACTACAGTTATGGCGCATTTACTAGGTCGACAGGTCGCCTGTACTTGTTTACACTAGGTCGACAGGTCGTCTTCACTTGTTTACACTAGGTGGACAGGTGGCGTCACTTGCCCGCCTAAAACGGCAACCTACCCATTGTAATTATTACACTGAGTCATTAACGACTGTAGTTTACACCCGAAGTCGACTAAGTATGAACACACCCAAATAATTTTCAACGGGTCGGCAGCCGCGTTCCATCGGGATGCGCGTGCTGGGGGCAGGGAATACCTACCCGACTGAACATTTCGAACAACTTGGTGATTTCGACGAAGGCGACTGTCGATTCTGTGTAAACAGCGAGTCGTTTGCGCCTCCTTGGGCAAGGCAAAGTAGTTTGCCGAAGGTGGCAGTCGATTCTATTTAAACACGGTATTATATTTCACACGTATGCAAAGACCTTAAATCTTGGCAACATATAGTACACAACACGTGATACCGTACTATCTGGTAATGTCGCACATTATTGGCCAACTTTGCCAGGTGGCAATATGGCATGGATAAATATCAAGCAAAATTGCTTGATTGCTGTTGCCTAGTGAATCATCGGCTTTACTTATTGTTACTCCTGTTTATTACCGTGTAACTTGAAGCCCAGAAAATGTATTTCGAAAATGAAATTTAGCAGTCTAAAGTTCAAATATTTCCGAAATTCAGTACTATTAGATTACTAACTGCTGAGCCATCTCGTTAAGTGAAGGTAATCTGAAGTGCAACTATGTGTTGCATGTTGAGCAGGCGAGCTCGCGCAGCTCCGAGGACACGCAGACACCGGCGCAGCGGCAAGCCGCCGCCAAGCTGGCGCTCAGGAAGCAGCTGGAGAAGACGCTGCTGCAGGTAATATTTATTTATTTATTTATTTATATCACCACTTAACAATAACATTACAGGTTAAAAAACCTAATTCGTTACAGAAGTCACATAAATATATTCAATAATCATAACAAATTATACGTAAGGCAACTATTTTGAATTCACTCAAAGTGCAAGAAAATAAGTCAACTGCCTCAGCCACTCGATTGAGAGTAGCGAGAGCACGCGTGAACGGCGCTCTGGCCAGCAGCTGGGTCCGCGTGCGCGGTAACAATAGCAGCGGTGGCCGCCGCCTTCGCCCCGTGTACTTGTCAGGAGCGTACAAATTCACTTTATTCAGCACACCTGAATTGTGCTGCTTGCCCCGTAACAATTCAAAAATATATGTTACTAACGCGAGGTCCCGCCTTACTTCTAACTTATTGTACCCCACCATACCTAGGACAAACAACGTGGGGTACATTAAAGGATAAAAAGGATACACTGCATATAATTTAAAGTACCTACAAATATCTGGTAAATTTATTTTGAATTTTTTCCAGCATAGTTCTATACCAGTAATAGCATAGTAATATGCCAGGCTCTTATCATATAACTATAAATGTAGCGTATTGTTAAAGTACTATTTATATAATTTAAATATGAAAATGATTTTGTAAATATAACACTAGGTCTGACACAGTTTGAAGGGAAAGAGCGAAGATAGATCTGCCACATACACATTTTATAATCTTAACATTATCTGCGGTGGCCAAAATAGAATAAAATTAACATATTCAAAGTCTCACGTATCGTTGCTTATAAATTTTTGGGAGTTGTACCTTTTGTGCTTTTTAATAATTATTCCATTTACGTGAAGAGAAAGACAGGCCGGCGACATTGTATTTCTACTAACCAGTAGAAGTAAAGATTTAAATTGGCAACATTGAACCGAAAAATCAATGTCTCTGGTATACATTTGTTACCATGTGTTTCAGATCCCACCCCCCAAGCCTCCTCCGCCAGAGATGAACTTCATACCGTCCCCCAGTAACACGGACTTTGTGTACCTCGTGGGGCTCGAACACGTCGTGGACTATCTTACCAACGAGGATCGGTATGTATGCAGAGTCGATAGCATAAGATGTATTTAGTTTGAGCTCCGGTTTCCCACGTCTTAAGTTTCATATTTGAATACTAAATAATAAATAATATCATAATTTATTGTCTCAGTTCAACACGTTTATAAATCTACTCCAGAGAAATAAGATAAATTGAGACAAAAGTCATAGGCTCAGCTTATGCTGAGACGTCTGAGACCGTGGAGTCCTGTCTTTTAGCCTCTTCTTAATTTTTGCGGTCTCGAGAGAAAGTCATGTCAACGAGAGCCAATGAGTATTTTCTTACAATCTAAGATTATAAATAACGAAATAACGGACTGACTCATGATCCCGCACTAGGGAGATCCTATATCGCAGGTACCATGGACACACATAGACACCCACAAATAACACCCAAACTCACGAGAGAAATAAATGTAGGTAATACAAATTTTTTCCCGGCCCGGGAATCGAACCAAGGACCTCTGCATGGTAGACCAGCATGGTAACTGTTCAGCCAAAGACGTAGTTTAAACTGTTAATGTGGACCATTCTAATATTTCTCAGCCTAAACGTCGAACCAGAGACCTTTGCATGGCAGAGCAGCATGGTAACCGAATCGTCGGTCACGAAGGCAGTTAAAATTAACATAACAACATCTAAAATCTTGAAATGAATCTGAGGCGTCGAATGGCGAAAGTCAGTACAAAGATCTATAACAAACTGCCTCCGTAGCCGAACGGATACCATGCCGGACTGCCACGCAGAGGTCCCAGGTTCGATTCCCGGGCCGGGAGAAATAGTTGTATGGCCTACAATTATTTCTCTCGTGAGTTTGGGTGTAATTTGTGGTTGTCTATGTGTGTGTCCATGGCACCCGCAACACAGGGTTTACCAAGTGCGGGGCTATGTTGAGTGTGTGCGTTAAAATAAAAAATAAAAAACAAGAAAAACCTGTGGCTCGGTTGGCAAGAGCAATGCTACGGTGCGGCATGGCTCATGTGTTCGATCTTTGTATGAATAATGAAATCAGTTGAATGTTTTGCTAATTGTTCATCGAGTCTTAACCTTGGGTTGCGTGTGCGCAGCATGCCGCGCAGCTCGGTGCCGGCCGTGTGCGCGCAGTGCGGCTGCGACTTCACGCCGGTGTGGCGCTGGGAGCGGCCGCCGGCGCGCAAGACGGACGCCACCTTCGCCGCCGCGCCCAGCGGCCGCCGCCTCTGCGAGCTCTGCGTCTCCGGCAACGTCAAGCGCGCGCTCAAGGCACGTTCGAAACCGGCTTATTTCTTTACGAACGCCAACATAATCAAGTCTGGTCTGATCATTTTACACGAACTGGGGGTCTACTCCCTTCTCCGTCTAACATTCGTTCGAAACAATTACTGTCAAAGAAGTAATACTCGACCGTACCAAAAGATATTGATGGATCTTCATTTGCATCACGCGTCTTTTAATTTTAATTTACATTATATATTAAGGGCGGTAAATAAGTAATTACTAACGAGCGTATGTTAGAAGCCCGAAGCCGAAGGCTGAGGGCTTTAATGACTCGAGGTTTGTTTGTAAGTTTTGATGCCCGTGCTGCATATATTTGCGGGAAAATAGACACAACGGTAATTTATTTATTGTATGAATAAATATCGCTTCACAACGCAACAAGTGAGGACTTTTTTTGTTTTTATTTTTTAAACAGATTGCCAGCTATTCTTCCATAATTAATACAATTCGAACTAAAATGTTATATACGATACAGACGCACGCAGCTACAACGAATTAGATATAAAATTATTTCCAAATTCTAAAAATAGTGCAGAATTTGAATTCACAAACCGAATTTAGTATAGTTAAACTACAAATGTTTAGTATTTTTTATACTTCAAGTTTATGCGAAACAAACGTTCAGATTTTTCGAACATACAAACTTTTTGCTAATCTTGACGTAAACATGTTTACGGTCGACATTGCCTGCATGTCATGACATTGTTTACGAGCGAGCGTGTTGAAATAATAATAATTTCGATACAAGTGCTGAAACTTAGTCATTTTTATCCGTTATTTTATAAAACACCTATGCAATTTAAACAAATAAGATGTTTGTAAATGTAAATATATTTTAATGACGAATGACTTACGTCACAAAGCACATAAATATTAAATAAATATACAACCTCTTTAGTTATATGTTTAAGACTTGAAACAACAGTAAATTAAAAAAAAAATGGAAAAGTAAAAAGCACTAGTGCGAAAAATCCAACTTTCGGCACGATTTGTAGTACGAAAAATACCACGTTTTGAGCAACTGTAGTAAAAAATAGGTTAACGTTATTTGTTACACACTGTGTATAATATTGTAACTTTGTTAACCGGCAGGCGGAGCACACGGCCCGCTTGAAGACCGCGTTTGTGCGCGCGCTACAACAGGAGCAGGAGATCGAGCGGCGCCTGGCCGCGCCCGAGGCCTCCCCGCCGCCGGCGCCGCCGCCTGCGCACTCGGCCGCGCCGCACCGCAGCTCCTCTCTGCAGGTACCTTCCGTTGCTCACTTGCAACTCCCCGCGGAATCTCAAGTCAGGTTAAATAGCAGAAGAGCTCTTTGGGAAAGAGTTCGTCCAGTGCTTCACTGCCACTTTACCGATTTTTGCCGTCAAGCAGTAATGTGAGCATTTGGTGACATTGCACGCACATGGGACTAGTCAATTTGCGCCTCAGGGTGTCGGACGCAGTGGACTGCCACTGTCCCTCAGTTCTTTGCGATTTAAAAGCTCCGAGTGGCACAGCAACTGCTTTGGACAGACGTGACGCTCACGACCAGACGAACGACTTGTTCGTCCCGTGACTTGGTATCATAAAAAAGGCCATTTTAAGAAAAGAACGTTGTAGTATTTACGTCATTTCGCAGATGTCGGTGACCCGAACGTCGTCGCGTACCCCCGCTCCTGCAGCGTCGTCGACTCCAGCGCCCCCCGCCGCCACCAGCGCCAAGGCCGCTGCGCCGTCTGCCAGGTAATTCGGGAAAAATAGACCTCCATTTTCTTCTTATCATATCGATGGCATACGCTGTAATGCTTGCCATCGAAGTGAAAGGATTTGCCAATGGGCGTAAGACACTCGCCGATTGTTGCCCAGGGTACACCATTCGTGAAAGGAACGGTTCGTTGTGCGGGGAGGCTTCTTTCGTGCACTCCAATTTTATTAATTCAGCCACATTAAGGATGACTTTAAACTAGGTTAGGTCATAAATAGCAGAATAAACACGTGCCGTGAACGTCCTATGTAGCTATGTTATACGGATAGCAGCATATCGAGCTGCACTTTCCCGGTTGTTGTGGAAGCATTATTTGAACAAAAGCTTTATTTTCTTTTTTTTTACACTCAGCCCCAGACTAAACCCTGCGACTGCCTTGGACATAGACAACCACAAATTATACCCAACTCACGTGAGAAATAAATATAGGCCACAGAAATATATCTCTCGACCTGGGATTCGAACCAGGGACCTCTTGCGTGGCAGATTAGTATGGTAACTGGTCACGGAGGCAGTTGACTGTACAATTTTACATAACTAATGGTGTTGTAACCTGTTTTCGTTTTTTTATTTTTATTTTTTATAATATCAAGTGACGGGACGAACGATTCGTGCGCCTGCTGGTGAACTATACGCCTGTCCATGACAGTTGCAGTGTCACTCAGAGCTTCGAAAAGATCTGAGGGGCACTGCCACTGCACCCGTCACCCAGAGACATAAGTTGACAAGTTCCATGTGCCTGTAATTTCACCAGCACCCTGACCCTTCAAAACCGAAATGCAGTAATGCTCACATTACTACTTGGCGGTTAAAATAGGTAAGGTGACAGTACTTCTCGACGAACTCTTTCACAACGAGCTCTACTGTTAATTTATTTTAATTAATTACACGATTTAGCTTTCCCGCCAATAAACTTGCGCAATCCAAGTACGCAATTGTTCGTGTATACGTCGTCGCTTGCAAGGGGTATTGTTTTCCATTAGCACAAGCATACATTTATAAACGCGGTGACACTTGACCGTGTAGACGGGCCTTTAGACTTTGAAAAGAATGTGTTTTCTCAACAAAAAAAATTGTCAGCAGGTCAATGAGCGGTTCCGAGTCGTTACGCAGCCATCACTCCGACCGTGCACGTGACTCCAGCGGGGACCCCCCTCCCGCCAAGAAAGGTAAAGGTAACTAGCATGTATCGATTTTTTTTTTCTATACTATTATCACGTTTTTCTGTTGTTTCTTTATAGAGACGAATAGCGACCGTAAATGAGATGTTAATACGAGGTCTGTCTCAAAAGTATCAGGTCTTCGTCCCTTATTCCGCGCTAGGTCTTTTAATCATTGATTAACGATGCCACGACCTGGATTATGATTAATAGATTTAACGCGGAATAATACGAAGGTCGGATACTTTTGGAATAGATCTTGTAATAATGACGAATATTTATTGATTAACCTAAAGAGATCTCTTTCCATATTCGAGCCAACATTGGATGGCGATTTTAAAGATCTCTTCAGAGATATAATACTAAATGAAAGTTGCCTCGTATCGAATGTTTAAATATTTCTAGTTATTCTCACAAGTTTCTGCAAAGGAAACTGCCATCAGTAGTATACTTTCGGTCAATTGATATTTTTTCTATTTTAATTTTAAACCATCGTTTATTACGTATGCTTACCGTTTCATCTTCCGTAGTAATAATCTATTTGCTAATCTGCAATTTAATTTGTATGCTCTTTGTAAAGATATTTTCTTTTTAGAGTTGAATTTGCTATTATTATTCTTATCTGCTTCATATACCTAGCGCGGCCGTAGGCCGCGATTCCAATGGTTTGCGGAGTTGTGTGTTGGAAACAGCAATGTTGGAAACACAACTGACAACAAAATTTTTGATAGTTTCTAAAATTTACTATAAGATGAAAACTTTCGCTGTTATCACCTCAGAAATGATGAATTTTTGCCATTTATTAGTATAATTCCCCAACAACAATAAGCACAACAGCAGAAATTTTCATATTAAAAGTACATTTTTGAATAAATTATCAAAAACAACGAATAAAATCTTTACATACCATTTTCGCAAAACTATGATCATGTTGGTTGACACTTATTGCTTATCAGCATCCAATTAGGGTCAAAATGTACAAAACGATACCTCCAATGAGTACTACACCAACTTTATTTTTTGGTAATTTTCTGTTATTTTTGTAAACAGCCATATTTACTTACTTAAGAAATTTTTAGAAAAAAAAGAAACTAAAAACAAAATCAAAAAAAGGACAAAAAAAAACGAATTTTGTAAAAAAAATTAAGAAACAAAAAACAAAATAAAAACAGAACAGGTCCAAAAATTAAGTTGTCGTAGTGTTCATTGGAGGTATCGAAAAAGTATTATCAGTATTGGTTACAATGAGTGTGTCTTGAGCCACACTCATTGTAACATCAAGTCTTGTTAACGCTTACAAAATTGGTTCCATAAATATCGACTTTAGGGCCACTTACAATGCAAGAGCTTAACCTCTGAGGCGCCAAATTGGTCGTATTGAGTATTGTTCGCTGCATTTTTGTTTACAGGATCCTCATCGAGTACCACCAGTCAGGGAAGCAACAGCAAGCAGCACCAGGTTCGTTTATAATTAATTGACGACTACAGGCATATTATAATAAGACAAGTAGTGCAATAAGTCTATCAGTGCCATTGACTTACAATTATATGGACGTCGGGTCCGCGCTAAAAAGTGTCCGCACTTGTAAGACGCTAAAATTGTATACAGAGCGCCAAACTCCTCTATAGTCTTCATTTGTTCGACTGACAGCGCGATACTGCGATGACATTACAATTTAAATTTCGAATAGGTTGACTTGGGACATTTTTTTCGTGGTTTTTGTATTAGACCCGTCGTCCATTTATTTGTAAGTCAATGATCAGTGCCCATACTTCACTCGAAGCGGTAAGTTGTCACACTATTATTTTAATTGGACGGATTGTAAAAATTTGAAACGATTAAGGTATTCACAGTATTCCCGTGCCAAACTTGAATAACATTTAATTTTGTCAAATGCACGGGCCGTTTACTCCAGACATGGATTATAGACCACAATTTGTAGTAGTGAAATTACAGGCACATGGGACTTTTCAACTTATGTCTCATTCTGACGGGCGCAGTTGCAGAACCCCTCAGATCCATGTGATTTTAATCTCCGAGTGGCACTTAACTGTTATGGACAGGCGTGTCGCTTACCATCGGCGCACGATTTATTCGTCCCATCATAGTATCATGAAAAAAGGTAGTACGCAGAGAAAGTCTTGCAAAGAAAATAGTAAAATATGCCGAAGACTGTGACCTATACAGCACTCACCTATTGATATTTTTATACCAAGTCGCGGATTATCTCGATTACGGTATCGTTATGAAATAGAAATGAAATACTGTACAATTCTGAATTTTAGGCACCCTTGTACATACAATCATAGGGTCGTATTCCAGAACTCTACTCAATGCTCAAGTCAGGACTTGGAGTATTGCAGTGAGCACTGAAAATCTTACTCAAGTCCTTGCCATTAGGGTCGTATTTCCAGTGCTTGAAATCATACTCAACCCTGCTCAAATCCTGACTTGAGCATTGAGTACAGTTCTGGAATACGACCCATAAACAAGTCTATTATTGACTGTCATGTTTGAACACCGAGCGACAGCACAGGTGCACAGATACAAGTCTCGCTACTACGTTTGTATGGAGTTACACTACTTGTCTTATTATTAATTATCGGAATTGAGGGAGTATAGTTACCCATACTATGGACATACCCATTTCGTAATAAGACAAAAAAATCCTGGCATTCATATTGTCATATGAATGCATATGAAATTAGGCGACGAATAAAATTATTATAGGCATATTATTCAGCTTTGCTTCATCCATATGTATTATTATGATAATTACAATGTTTATACATACGGACTTACTAAAGTAATTGTTCTCTCAAAAGAAAAAGAATCTGGACGTGAAACAATTGGAACTGCCAATATTGTAATAACGGTAATGTTTTTGGTTTGGTTCTATTTTTTGTCTTATTTTATTTTCGTGCTTTGTGAAACAGAAAGCAGTTACTTTTTTCTACAGCGAAATATGTAGAAAAAAGTAACTGTGTGCAAAGCGCTCTTATGTTTTGCAGTTATGAACGCAAAACACAAAACTATAATCATCTATAGTATTATTTTACGAGACAATAATTTGTAGCAAATTTATTTACACAATTCGCATTTTCAAATATGATCAGTTTGAGAAGGTCCGAGATTTGTGGAAGGTAACCTCCACATTATTATTTACGTTACTCAATCAATTCCGATCACTGCTTATTATACAATGCTAAAGGATAGGAATCATTATTGTTACAAATACCGTCACACATCTCGCTACTACCATATGTAACTGAGTAACAGCGGTTACACACGGGACTTGCGGCGATGCAAACGAGCGTTTCGAAACGCGCGATTGCGTCGCAACTCTAGTGGTTTTTAGGCGGTTGCTTCGATGCATGCCCCAGTTATGCATGCACGAATTTCACGACTTATCAAAATGCACTAAAGTAAAGCTGTCGGTAGCGCGTGCCGCCAACCGCTTGCATCGAAGCCGTTCGATTACGTCGAACAAATATACATTGTTTTTAAATTTATTTGTATGTTTGTTTCCAGCTGGCGGCGGCCGCAGCAGCACAGATGGCCTTCGAACAACACAGCGCCGCCGCCATGCAAGCTCTGCAACACCAGCTGCTTAGAGGTAAGCAACACCAACACAAAGTGGTATTCATCTAAATCCTGATAAAATTCAAAAAATTAAAGTAATAAATTACAGTGATGGTGTTAGTGGTTAGACGTGTGAAGTCCCCAACTAGAGCTCCTTGTGAAAGAGTTCGTCCAGGGTAGTACTGCCACCTTACCCATTTCTGCCGCCAAGCAGTAATGTTAGCATTACATTACTGTGTTCCGGTTTTGAAGGGTAAGAGTGCTGGTAAAATTACAGGCACATGGGACTAGTCAACTTATGTCTTGTATTTAAAGCTCTGAGTTGCACTGCAACTGTTGGAAAAAAATGGACAGGCGTGTAGCTTACCGTCAGGCGCATGACTTGTTGATGAAAAAAGGGTTTGGTGACGATGAACAATTTTAGTACTTTTCCTTTATTTAGGCGTCTGCGTATAGAGCAAAATCTGCGTAACAGAACACTAAGCACTTTCTAGGCAACCATGTTCCTTCATCGACCATTTTCACACCTAACGTCGAGTGAGATTGCGGTTATATATTAAAAATACCTGCACACCATACAATCGCGTGCGCAGGTCTGAGCGGCGCGGGCGGCAGCGGCGGTATGTCTCCTGCGGCGGCGGCCGCGGCTATGATGCAGTTCTCGCCGCTGCTCTACACCTACCAGCTGGCCATGGCGCAAGCTTCTGCGCTCGGAAAAAGGTGTAAGTACACGTATACTCTTCAAAATTATTAGTAATATATGTATTTTTTATCGAGTTCAAAGTTTTTATTTAAGTTACGACAATAATATCAGAGGAACGAAATTAAATTCGGGACAGTTTTAGACTATCACAAAAAATTAGCTATTTCACATAAAAAAAGACAATGCAAATTAATAGTCCTTGTGGATATTCTGTCAGCTATTGTTAGGAACAAAAAAAAAACACTCAAACACTGGACCACGGGACACGGGTGGAATTGTATAATTTGATTCCGCCTTCCCCTTTCCTTCATCGGGGGACTAAACGTGGGCTGCGATTCCACCTCTTTATTGTGGATATTCCCCGGATTCGCCCGAAGCGTTTCGCTTCCACATTCATATGGCGAGCGGCTAGAGAGTGGAATTCCCTACCTGCGGGCTTGCTCCCTGAACGCTATAACTTGGACCTTTTCAAGGCGAGAGTGAATAGGCATTATTTAGGTGTGCATGCTGCATCGTCGACCTCATCATCACTTTCCATCAGGTGAGATGGAGGTCAAATGCGCACCTATTTTTTATTAAAAAAAATCAAAAGTGAAAAAGAAAACTGATAAAAAATATTTAAATGTTCTTTAATATTTTCGACTTTAATTGTGTACGTAACACGTGAGGAAAACTTTATTGATTGTCAAAGTGCCATTGTGAACCTTTTCGTCTGAACATTACAATCTAGGCTGTAATCATATGAATTTACAAAACAAAGGTTCACTAATACTGGGAATCGAACCCGGGAGGTAGTTACAACATCGCCATTCAAAATATAGCTCATATAATATAAGTCGTAATATGTGTTTGCAGCGGGCAAAGGCAATAGCAGCAGCAACCCCGCTGCAATGGCGGCGGAGATGCAGCGCGTGGCAGAGGCCCAACGCCAGTATTTACTAGACATGATTCCCGGGCAACACCAGAGGAACCCGTGGACCAAGAATTAGGTCACTTTCAGAAAATGCACTACATTAAAAAGGGTAAACCCTTAATGTTAAGGTGAGGTGCTAAATCATTATAGATCTTATCTACCAGTATAATAAGACAAGTAATGTAACTCCATAGAAACATAGCAGCGTGTCTTGTATGCTTGCGCGCCTTGTACGGCGCACACATTCGCATAATCTCGCGGTGTACTCGCGACGCGCGAGTCGCACGCGCCTTTCATAATAGAAATGAAAAGCATTCGTTCGGAGTTTAAAAATTTACATCGATAATAAACGTGTTTTCTTTTGTTTTAAAAGCATGGAATTGTCCATGATAGATAGTAGATATTGATCTAGCTTTCGAATTCTGCACGACAGTCGATAATATTTTTTTTATAAAAGTAAAAATAAAACAGTGTTTTATTATAGCATGTTCTGCATTTATGAACTCTTTAAAATATTTGTCCATCTTGGAAATGGGTTTAATGAACTTGTAAAGATCTGGTGCGGAAGAAAAATCAGGTGTAGAAATGGTTTAAAATTACATGGACCTGATGGGACTAAATATGATATAATAAGGTTACAATTGTTCCACGAACTGAGTACATGGAATTACTGGGAATAAACGGTTTATGGTTGTTCGAATAAGGGTGCCTTAAATTCAGAATTGTTCAGCATTTAATTTCTATTTCATAAACATACTTTCATAATCGAGATACCAATCCGCCTCACTGGTATCAAAATATCAATATGTAAGTACTGCATTTGGCCAAGGTTATTTCAATACAGCACGAGAATACCGAGATGAATACCTTAATTTTTTTCAAATTCAGTTTTGCTACCTGTAGGTAAAACTAGTATTCGGCCATGGACAAAATTTGAATTTTGAAAAAATCATGTTTTAGGAAAATAATTTTTTTTCCTATATTTTTCCACATTTGACAGTTGACACCTGTCAAAAGTTGAAGATACTGAGGAAAACTTTTGAATTTTTACCGTATGATTATTTTTTTCTGCTGCTATCCAATAATTTTAAATCTCGTTTTTTCTCTATTTTGCTTTTAGATATACAATTTTATTTTATTTTCACGCTAAATAAAACTTCAAGAGATATTTAATATGGGCCTTCGAATTACATTTATCCAATACTTCAGAAATTTTTCATGAAAAATTTCCACTATTTTAAATTTTCCGGAAAATTACTCAACATTAGGTACGACTAAAATACTAATGTGACAACCCTACGCTGCGAGTGACGTGTAGGCATTAATGACGCGCTAAACAGGAGATGTTGGACTACTTGTTTTATTATACTATGTTAACAATAATGAACATCATCGTGAGGAAACCTGCCTGGTATATACCCAACTATCAACCCATATTGGCATTGCAGGAAATATAAGAGTTAAGACCTTAGGGTTAAACCTAAAGCTAGTTGAACTGCCTCCGTAGCCGAACGGCTAGCAGAGGTCACGGGTTCGATACCCGGGCCGGGAGAAATATTTGTATGGCCTACTAATAAAGCTGATGCATCCTTAAAAAAAAACATTTCACTACGCCGGTAAAATTCGTCGCTTGCGGCGGCATGTGATACGAGGGGGCGTTCTAAATAAAAGAAAGAACTACCCTTGTACTACCGTGGAAAGACCGCCAGTGGCGTGACGCACATGTCTAGTCAGGAGCGTAGATGATGAAGGTTTTAGACTGATTGTATGAATGGTTCTACCGGGAATCGAGTCTATAATAGAAACTATAGTCTGTTCTACTTCATTGTACCAGAAAAGTAAACAAACTGATCATTGACCCGACCATAGACAGTTTGGTGATGGCCAAATGTACTGTCAACTACAAATAGATTAATTAATTGAATGAATTGATTTGTTGAATTGAATCAGTTGGAATAACTGGGTTTTATATAATAAAATGGGTTTTGCGATTTGGCTGCAGATTATTTAAAAAAATGTAATACAATACTGAGTGATGATACATACATGGGATTAAAAATGTTTTCTTACATAACCTATAAAAGCAAATTTAAATTAAAAAAGTTTAAATAAAAAAAAAATAATTTAAATCTCAAATCTTACACTTAGATATTCGTTTGATTATGACAAGATTTTCGATTCACAAATCGATAACAAAAACTTTAATTTAATGAACCGAATGAGTTATTTCCATACAGCCCTATGCACCATAGACTATTCACAAATCTGTATTTGATAACTAACCTCATTTTTGAACTAACATTTTTCAAATAAGATTTTAATATGTTCAAATGAATATTGCTGGAAAATGTGATGATGAGATATCAAGTCGAAATCTTCAAAATAACGTGAAAGTGTTACTTTATTCCATTTATTGAGGGATAGTTTTAGAATTTTAACCAAAACCTGTTTGTTTACTTTTCGGGCACATGGATTAGAATAGACTTTATATACGGTAAGACCAAAGACGTTAGTTGTCAATTGAACATCTGTAATGTAAATAAATTTTGTTTCAGGCATGATTACAACAACGCTGATTACAATAACGCCGAAATGAGAAGCGTTCTTAAAAAAATATTTTGATCTTTAATTTTAATGTAATTAAGTTAGTTTTATAAAATCTTTTAGTGCATTAGATCAATTATTGCACAAGAATATACGTAAATCGAATAGTTATAAGCTACAAATAAATGTGTGAGGATTTAAAAAGTAATCAAAAAAATTTTAATGATGGATCATTTTGTATGTCGGGTTTTAAGTATTAAATTAATAAGTCTTATTATAAAGATATAAATAGTTTTATTTTATTAATATTAACAAATTGAGTACAAAATGTTGGTTATGTATATTTAATATTTATATAAGGGCTTACAAGTTTGGACTAAAAACTGATGTATAGACAGACAAATATCACAGATTTTGCATCAGTAGTAAGCAAGTTTTTTTGTCCTTTATGACTGGCTAAGGCATCTAACTAGCCTCTTTTGATGTTTCTTCAGTAATTGAATTTTCTGACATTTTTCCGTGACAAACTGTGATCATTTGCATCAGTAGTAACTTTTTTCGTCCTTTGGACCAGGCTGATGTGTCTAATTAGCCATACAGCCAGGTCTTAGAATTGTCAGATAGTAATTTTTCTTCAATAGTTTAAGAATCGATACAACCGCATATCAGTGAAAGTGTTGTCAATCCCTTTGGAAAAAATATATAGTAAAATTAAGGATATACACTGAGTGGTGTACGGTGTGAAAACACGACTCCTAAAAATGTTCATGATAGAAAAAATATCACAAACTTACCTCGAAATTTTACAAGAAAACCGCTATATTCAACTACTTACTTACTCTTACGTAGTTTACATATACCAATGATTTTTTATATTAAGTGAACTAAATAGAACACATATAGTATACGATATACATTTTTCAAATGACTTTAATTTCGATTGTCAAAAATTAAATTCTGAAATAAAGGCAGTGTCCCTGACGCTCACTCTGCGCAATAGAACCGATTCAGTACGGGAAAAATTTGAATTCACGCTGAGGTAGTATCAACTCTTAATTTCCTGACATTTGTTGGCAGGAAATCATCATTATATTTTTATATCAATATACATGTGTTGTTGACAGTAGATTTTATAATCTGCAACATGGCGACGGTCCAAAGCACCATCAGCCTTTAGTCGGTTATAATTTATAACTTGCACTATAAAGATTATTCTTTTAACATAATTGCTGAGGTAACCAGGTCCTGAAATGAGAAAATACACGATGAAAATAAATAGCCATATTCTTAACAGATATACCTATAGTTATAAATCCAAATGAGCATAACCTAACCTCCGGTTAAAAAACCGTCCTCAAAAGTGATTCATCCCCTAGTTTGCGACCCTTACAGGTGGAATATTTTCTTGAAATTTAAATGGGACCACATCTAAGGTACCTTCTTTCCATCAAAATTAGTTCACAAATGGCGAAGTTATCGCGTAACATACATATAAAAAAAACATACATATGAATTGAGATCCGACTACGCTAACGCAGAAGATACGGACTACGCTAATTAAGGTTTATTACGACAAATTACTTTTTAATACTATGTGGTAAATCCGTGAAGCACGAGTGAAACAACCGGAATGGCAGGATTTCGTATGTTTGGTATTCTGCTAAAAGTTAAGAATAGTTAAGGCTTGTCGGTGGCTAGCAATCGAGCTGCTACTTAACTGCTATTGCAATTTTTTTGGTATTTTTCTCTTCAATGGCGAGGCGATGGTGTCGTCTATTTGACAAAAAAAAAAATACATTTCATTGAAGACTAAATTGCAAAAATAATTGAAAAAATAAAAATTAAGATGTAATTTCCGTGGTATCGTTTTAAGCGCTTATTACACTACCCGATTTCAAGCGACCGTAACTCTATCTACATTAGGGAGGTGTAATTAGAGGCGTGAATAATAAGTAGGGTTGAATTAAGTAAAGTTGACTGAGTTAAAGTTAAGATTTTAGAATAAATAGGGATTAGATATTGCTGTTTGTATGTATATTGAGCTTTTAATACATAATTATTAGAAGTAATAAACCTTAATGCGAGGTTTTGGGTATCAGGTTATTGATTAGATAACAAAACACGCACTTGTGTTTTATTCCAAAAAATTGGAAGTGTTCTCGGAACTGAGAACGGAGAGTTCTGCAACTGCATGCTAAACGCGTAAAGCTGAAGGCAGTTCTGTGATATTGATATTGTCTCTCCAATTCAGTGTTGCTATTGATATCACGGTTTCTTCTAACAATTTGTGAAACTTATTATAGTATTGCCATTTAAACCATTTCTATACCACGTAAAATAACTATAATTAATCCCAGCGTGAAGAGTCAATAACTGTCTTCTTGAACTTTCTGAGTTACAGTGCACAATAAACTCACCTTATGCGCGTCTATATAACCGATGTCGTTGTCTGAAGCAAGGATCTGTACAGCGTCGATCACCACGTCGGCGGCTTTTTTTACGTTCTTAGCGAACATCGCTAGCACCTCGGTCACTGATACCTGATATTGAAAATAATTTGTTATTTTTGGACCCTAAAATGGTATAGTATTGATTTAGTATTGCCAGGGTTGGAAATTTGCTCTTAAAAATTCCGCAACATGGCGAACATATAGTTGACTCGCTTCAATTCACCAGTCAGGCGATTGTATTTTTAAATGAATACGTTACGTACCATTTTGACAACCGTGGCGGCTTACTAAATTAAGCCTTTATTTGTGGGGCAATATACCTACATACATATGCTTCTGTAATAAGTTTTCTATTAATGTTAAAAATCTATCATTTACGAAGTTTAAAACTAATATTGAGAACATAAAGAATTGTATGTAGTTTCTGTGTAGGTACTTGGATGATAAATTTCTAAGTACACGAAAAAAATCCCAGTTCCCTTTACTTATAACATTTGAAAAGAAATAAAAAGTGTAAAAAAAGAGTAACCTCTAGAGTTTCTTACTCGTTTTTCGTAATGGAATCAATTTGAAAAATTGTGTGTAAGTTATATTTTAATTTTTTTTACCTTTACACTTGCTTCCAATCAAAGTGCATCGGTGTTACAACCACATTTTTCTTATATTATTGAAATAAGAGGATTTTATAGTAGATGCTTGAACTTCAATTGCTTGTACAATTAACTTTTCGGCCTATATATGATATGTTTCAAAATAAAAAAGGCATACCGAAGTTTCATTGTCTCTCCAACAGTCGTAATCTGTGACGAGAGCAACTGCTGCATAACTTAGTCCTGCTTCTTTTGCTAACACCACCTGCCAACGCTTATTATTAATTATTTATTCCGTTTCAAATTAAAAAAAAAATGCAAGTTGATTTTCTACCTTATAACGGCGAACCTAGATTGATTGATTTACAGTCTTAACAGATGACTAGCTGCAGAGATCCTTGTGAAAGAGTTCGTCCAGGGAAATACTGCTACTTACCTATGTCTGCCGAGTCATAACCGGAATGCAGTAATGCTCACATTACTGCTTGGCGGCAGAAATAGGTAAGGTGGCAGTACTTCCTTGGACGAACTCTTTCACAAGAAGGTTTACTGCTACTGACTGTCTCATAAAAAAATCATTTTTTAAAGGGATCATGTTTATCGATCTAGTCAATTTCTCGACTTTGGATCTGGGGGTTTGGAACCGCGTATTTCATTCAAATCTCATCTGGGGGTCTACTCTCGATCTCCGTCTGAAACAATTACTGCCAAATAAGCAATACCTGACCAAATGAAAAGACGCATCATGCGAAATGGAGCTTCATACTTGATACTTGTCTTTTAATTTTGTCGAATATTACTTATTTGACAGTAATTGTTTCGGACGGATGTTGGACGGAGATCGAGAGTAGACCCCCAGATGAGATTTGAATGAAATACACGGTTAGTATAGACGCAAGCTAATGAGGACTGAGAAATCTACTGACTCGATCTGTAGCTCAATTGGTAGAGTGGTTGCTGTAGATTGGCTTACAAACGCACGTTCGAGTCCTGTCAGATCGAAGGAATTTTTCTTTGTGTTCGATCTTCATATTAATAATAATAACAAATTTTAAATAATTACCTCTGGCACAGTGGTCATGTTCACTAAGTGTCCGCCCCATTGTTTGTGCATCAAGCTTTCTGCGCGACTCGAAAATCTGAAATCGTGGATTTCGCAAGTGGGAAAAAAATATGTAAATTTGTAAACGTACCAATGGCGACCGGTTTTTTAAAATAACTCCCGTCAGTTTGTCTATGAAATTTAATCTCTTAATAATAGTCGTTATTAAGCGGAAATAAATAAATAATAAATAAATAAATAACGCACACACTCAACATAGCCCCGCACTAGGAAAACCCTGTGTCGCGGGTGCCATGGACACACATGTAGACAACCACAAATTACACCCAAACTCACGAGAGAAATAATTGTAGGCCATACAACTATTTCTCCCGGCCCGGGAATCGAACCTGGGACCTCTGCGTGGCAGTCGGGCATGGTATCCGTTCGGCTACGGAGGCAGTTAGAAAGTGCTACAACATTTGTTGCGTAGTACCTACCTTTGACATCGGCTTATATTCTTTAAATATCTACCGTTCACCGAAGATACTTATTTCAGCAGCAATTTTGGTTTTGAATTGTAGATGAGGGTGCTTGTGAAATTGCAGGCATATGGGACTTGTCAACTTACGTCTAAGGGTGAAGGCCAAGTGCCATAATATGGTAGCACCCTTGCGATCTTTGTGATTTAAAGGTCCGAGTGACACTGCAAACAAATGCAGCATTTCCCTGTTCATACTCTTTCAAAAGGAGCTTTACTGCATCTGGATGATTATCACAAATTACAGGTTTCTTATTAGGGTAGTTCTTTATTTTCCCGATGTTTCGGAAAGGTTACAGGCTCCATTGTCATGAATTGACTGGCCAACAAACATATCTGTCTACCCACTTTCGCTGTCGACGATTACCTTCATCTCCACAGACAATATCTGTGTTCATCTCGATTAGTTGTGGCATTACCATTGTCAGTCACTTTTTCCCGACAAACCACACTCACTATATCCACACTCGAAACTGAGGTCAAACCATTTTTTTATTGTCATTGTTGTAAGCACTAAGTGCCGGATTCCACGCACTAGATAGTTTAATTCCGTCTTCACGGTTAAACGTTTGGCGCTTTGTAATATCGATGGTTTCTCGTATCAAACGTGATACGTAGTGAAGTTCTGTCCGTAAGATGTTGTGCTATAGCTTGACTTCTGTGCGTTATTATTTTTAACCGCTCGGATATATGTCTTTCATACGGTCGAGATTGTCCGTTTGGTCTGACCAATCAGCGACCTCCATAACTGCAGTTTACTGTGTAGACACCCGGTGTTTGAAAAGGAAGGTGGTATTTTGGCGAACGCACCCGCTTGCCTATTTTATTTTAGCGGACAGTTTTTATGGAGAACTTCCTTAGTAACCTGCGTAGTAAAGAGTAGACAGATATATCTGTTCTTAAAGCTGCCATCTGCCGATGGCTGATCAACCTGTGACCATCGAGCTTGTAACCGTCTCGACATATCAGAATAACAAAAAGAAATCATCGTATCGTGGTAAGAAATTGCATAAATGAACGAATGAGATTTTTGTTTTACGGCTGACAGCATGTGATGGCGAACGATAAGGTTTTTATTCGCTGTTTTTCTTGTTTATTTTTTGTAAACTATTTTACTTGTGAATAAACAAATACATCTTTTTTATTATTATTATTAAATAAAAAAGATGTATTTATCTAAAACAATGGTTTACTAAGGGTGGTATACATAGTATGTAGTAGCAAAAGAGCTCCTTGTGAAAGAGTTTGTTCAGTGTACTGCCACCTTACCTATTTCTGACGCCAAGTAGTGTCGCGAGCATTACTGTGTTACTGTGTTGTCAACTTATGTGTCAGGATGACAGGCGCAGTGCCAGCGTCCCTCAGACCTTTGCAATATATAACCAGGCGTACGACTTGTTCATCCTGCTACTTGGCATCATAAAAAAAGAAACTGTATAATTCTAAAGCAAGTATAGTTGAAATATCTTACCTAGGTCCCTGTATGACAACTGCAGTACCCTTTTCATGGCAGGGATAGTTCCTCGCTCTGGCAGCCTGGTACATGGCCTGACGCGCTTTCTCGCAGAACGCGGGCCTCATGGGAAGGTGACAGACGCCACGAGGACCGCCCTCTGTGCGGTCGTAAAAGGTGCATTTTCGACCCCAAGTTCTAAAAAAAGATTTTACTGTATATTTCTGCCGCCAAGAAGTAATGTCGGCATTACTGTGTTCCGGTTTAGAAGGGTAAGGGTGCTGGTGAAATTATTGGCACATGGGATTTGTCAACTTAGTTTCAGGCGCAGTGACAGTGCCTCTCGGATCTTTGTGATTTAAACTTTAATATTCACCCGTAAGACAGATATGAGTAAAGCTGATTCACCTGAGAAGAATGAGTAAGAAACTAGTGGTTGCTCTTTGCAAATAAACATTTCGGCACATTTATCAGCCACAATATTTATGAACCGACTTCAAAAAGGAGAAGGTTCTCAATTCGACTGCATTTTTTTGTGTGTATATTACGCGATAACTCCCGTTTTTGAACCGAAAAATTTGTAAACCGATTTTGATGATTCTTTTTTTTTGTTGGTCGAGGGTGCCTCAGTATTGGTGCCTTTCAATTTGAAGAAAATATTCCACCTCTAAGGGTGGCAAACTGGGGGATTAACAGATTTCAATAAGACTTAGCAAACAGATGTAATTCCAATAAAAAAGCCGATAAGCAAATTTTTCAGATCGTTTTTTTAAATATAAAAGTTATTAAAAAAGTTCAAATACGATAGATCAAGACAACCTGAAGGAGTTAAACCGGTTGTATAAGGTAAAGTTATGGTAAAGCTGTCTAGTGCTGCCACGTTTACGTTACTGGCACCCTATAAGGTAAAAAAACGCAAATTACAGTGAAGTGCCAATAGTACAAATTAAAGTGACAATAATTGAGTTGTTCACTTATACATAATAGCATAGTTTTTTAGTCATATAATTGAGGCCACATGATGACATGACCCATATAACATACACCTTAAGGACTAATATATGACAATATAATAAACTAAATAACTAATCTACTCCAATTCCACTTGTCGGCGACGTGTGGCGCAATCTAGTATCAGGAAACCAGTCACGGAATCGCCGATATATAACACCCTTCAGCCAAAACTTTACACGAATTTCATCGCACTTACGCCGCGTGACCGCGTGCATCTAACTGTCATGGCAAAATACGCTCTATTTATTTAGTTTTACGTTTTAACTTAAATGACCGGCGACCGCGCGGGCCGCGCGGTTGTATTATTCCAAGGCATTTAAATGTTGTTGCCTAGTAAATAGAATTCAGATTTGCCATTAATGTACGTGAAAGCGTGGTAATTGGGCGGATGCCGCGCGGTGGTCGCGCGAAAACTGCCGAGGTACTGGCTAGAGTGAATAGGCATTTTTTAGGCAAACGCGTCCCATCGTCGCTCAACATCAGGTGAGATTGTGGCTAAGCGTGTACATTATATATTAAAAAAAGTACCTCGCTGAGTGAAGAAAAACTTTCATAGATTTCTCACAGATGGCGCTACGGCAAACATGTTAAAAATAAAAAACAAAGATGTGCAACAAGTACAAGGAAAAATGCGTGAGATCCGTTGGTTCGTTCCGTGGCTTAGTTGGCATGTCAAGGTTTGGTAGGATACGTTGGTTGGTGGAAGTGAATTTTTTCTTTGTACTCTATCTTTGTTTAATAATTACAACAAAAATATGTATAGTATTATTTATCTTACTCGTATTTTATACTATGGTAGTAGTGGAATGTCGTGTATGGACGTCACCACACTTATGTGGAATCGGCTTGAGTCGATCAGACGAAGCTTTCCATCCAACAAGAGCGACAAGACGCGTTTCGCTTCTGCTCGGACCGCGGGCTCGAAACGCACATCTTTTTATTGAACAGGAGTTACAGAACATGAGCTACAGAAGACATTTTTGAAGCATTAATAATCAGCTGTTTTTATTTTTATAGTAATTACCATTGCAGCTGCATACGTCACGCACGTCTGCTCACCGCGACGGTCATTAGGGATCTACACGGGACATGGGCCGCGTATCTTTAAACGAGCGAGTTAGCAATACATCTGTCTATGTAAATAATGTCGGCCCTCTGATTGGTCGATTGTGTATTCAACACTTTTAGTAGGTATATTATTCAGAGTTTTTAGATTAATATAATAAATAAACAAATAAATAATAAATAAATCAAACGTTTATTAATACAATGAACTTTACATTAACTGTGGATGATATCTCCTCTCCAGCTCTTCCATATCTATAAATGCACATTTAACATTTTTAACTTGTACATAATTTAGTGTTTCGTTTTTACATTCCAGACATCGTCGAAACAAACATTTCTTTTTTAATTTTCAATATTCTTAACTTCTAATTTTAAATTTAATGTGAATCTTAAAACGTATGTATCTGCGCGAGTGCGCGTGTGCGCGTGTTAACCTGTTGCCATAGATTAGCAAAGTAGTGTTTTTAAAGCAAGTGTTCAAATAGATCTTCCGTTTCCTCATACTACTTCAACTGGAGCCATCCTGATATAACTTTCTTGCAGTCTCTATAACTTTTAGCATATATTTCTAATTCCTTATTCATGAAATTGTACAAACGGGCCGATCGTTTGCTGAATTGTCTGTTTGCAAATGTTGTATTTACTTTAGGCACTTGTACCACAATGTCTTTCCTTCTCCTCTTCGAAATATTTAGATATAAATATTATAAATGTTTTGAATTATGAACGTTTCTGAAGTATAATCTATGGTATCTGATTTCTATTATTATTATTAATTACTAATAGATTATACAAGTCACATACCTGTCAATGAAGTCGTCGACAATGACTAGGTCTCCAGGGCGGTAGTCTTCGACTAGCGAGCCCGTGGCCGTGGTCGCCAGCACGTGTGTGCACCCTATTTCCTTTAACGCCCAGATGTTCGCACGATAGTTGATGTCACTGTTAATATAAACGATGGTCAAAAAGTGTTTTAACAGACATTTATTTAAAATGTAATTTGGAATAATATCAGTAGTTTTTATGATACTACGGGACGAATAAGTCGTACACCTGGTGGTAAGCGACATGTCTGTCCATAGCAGTTGCAGTTTGCAGTACCACTCAACGCTTTAACCGCAAAGGCCGAAGGGCACTGCGACTGAGCTCGTCACTTTGAGGTATAAGTAGACAAGTCCCAAGTGCCTGTAACTTCACCAGCACCCTTACCCGTGAAAATTAGAATCCAGTAATGCTCACATTACCGTTTGGCGGCAGAATTAGGGTAAGGTAGTAAGGGAAGTACTTCCCTGAACGAGCTCTTTCAAAAATAGAAAAGAATAATATATAAATTATTTATTGAAAAAATTGGGTCCTTTTGATATGGAATATTTTCAATGTGTTATAATGTACGGACAACAGACTACACATTTTTGTTCGAAAATCGCCTCCAGTGCAACGGAACAAGATACGTGATGTGCTGGCGTGTGCAGATCAATTGCCATGGTGATACGCTAATAGCAATAATAACTTATAGAAATAAAAACATCAAACATCAAAACAGCGAGAAATTCACGATGTGGATTTTAATTTCTTATTGAATCTTGGAATTATTGTATTTCCTCAATATCTTTTGGTAATTTGTTGTATGTTTGAGCTCCTCCGTACATTATGTTTTTATTTCCATAATCGTCCAAACTGACGATATTCTAGTGGTCGCTTAACTACATTTACACTCTGCTCTGCTTTGATAAACTGCATCTCTTTAAGCTAGTAAACTGACGGCAATTTAAGTTTATTTCGTTATTAATGTACGTATTCAGAAGTTTCGATAGATCGTTAATAGAAAATGGCGTCTTTTTTTGTGTTCACATAGCAAATATGCTCCACTAATAAAAAAATACTAACATCTGTCATAAATAATAATAGTAAATATCATAATATTACAAGTGTAATAATAATAACGCATACACTCAACATAGCCCCACACTAGGGAAACCCTGTGTCGCGAGTGCCATGGATACAAACATAGACAACCACAAATTCACGATGAAATAAACGTAGGTCATACAAATGTTTCTCCCGACCCGGGAATCGAACCTGGGACCTCTGTGTGGCAATTCGGCATGGTAACCGTTCGGCCACAGAGTCAGTTAGAGTATCATTAATAAATAGGTAATATGAAAGCTAAAGTATTGTAAATTTATGCGAATAAGTTCCTCTCAATTATTGTGGAGGAGGAGGATTGTAAAATACCACCTTTAGCCCACCTTTTACATCTTAAATTAATGTTTCTTTTGTATTTCTTTGGTACCATAATGAATATAATAACATTTAACTTTGAATTATTCCATTTAGATTTTTCTCTCACCTGGGCTGATACTGATGTTTCCTGCCATGTCGAGCGAGCAAAACACATGACACGCCCTTGATCCTGCCTTCAATTAGCACGTCAGAGGGTTTGCCAAAGGGCGTAGTCACTTCCCTCTCAATAGGATCCTCGAATAGTGCAGGATCATCGAAACCAGAGCCCCCGATGATACCAATCTGGTGAATGGTAGATATGTATTCACAAAGCAAGTTTGATTTGGTCAATCGACACGTCGGCGTGGCGGAATTTCAAAGAATTTATTTGTTTTGTTGTTACCATGTCAAGTCATGGCGACTCCGGTAGCACAACAGGTAGTGCCTCAGTGGCGGATTTGCAGTCTTGGCCGCCCTAGGCCCCAGGCCATGTAGTCAGTACCAGCCACCCCTTTGTCAGCACTCATCATATACCGGTAGACTACATAATGAATTTCACTGTCACTATGTGTATTGGTGGAAACCGCATGAAAATCCGTTCAGTTCAGTTTTTGAGTTTATCGCGATCTTACAGATAGACAGACGCGGTAGTGATAATATGTAGTGATTATACATTACATTATATAGATATGTAACATATCTATATTTTATACATAAAATGTACGAGTAATTTAGGAAGATTATTGTTATACGATGCGGTGCAGTGCGGCCCGCCATAGTGTGCGTGAGCCTTTATTATTTACGTATTTTGAGTTATTTCTTTTTATCATCCGTGAATTTTTTGTCACGATTGCCGTGTGTGACCGGGACGTTCTCCTCACGCGCAGCTAGCACGTCTTAGTAGCGGTCTAGTTGAGAGTCTGTGGCGAGGAGACACGCGGGGCACGTGAGTTGCCCTATAAGTCGGTGGCTATGTCCGGACATTGTCGCAGGATACTGCCACTTGGCATCTCCGGCACTAGCCCGGGGAGCTAGACATCTTCCGGTCCCTCCGGCCGGGTAGGAATTTGGGAGCTGTAGAGACGCCGTTCATTCGGCGTCGGGGAGTGAGCGTGACTTACAGCTCCGCCACCAATGAGGAGATTTGGTAGTCGGCTTCGAGTCGGCGGCTCAGCGGTAGCAACCGTTAGTCGTGCGGAGCGCGACGGGAAGTGAGCGTGCCTACAATAAAATAATCTGGAAAATAGGGACAGTGCTGTACGTGGACCCGGGGCGGGCGGCTCACCTAATGTACTAGCCTTATGAGAACCGGATGAAGTACGTGCAAACGTGCTGATCCGGGGTTAAGACTTGACTTAGATGGTCCCTGTGCGAGCTCGCATAACCAAGAGGTTGATAGGGAGCGGCACTATAAACAAAACTTATGTAGAATGATACGGGACTGCCCGCCCATAAAATCTAGCCGCCCTAAGCCCGGGCCAGTAGGCCTTAGAGCAAATCCGCCAATAAGTACACTGGGCAATATGTCTCAGGTTGGATTCTCAGAAGGGCTAATTTAGTGTCTACGAGTATAATGCTAAATTATTACGCACGTTAGTATAAGGCCAATCTCTCGGTGTTTAGAATAAAATTCATAGATGAACTTTCTTGTGATACACAGTGATAATTGACGCGTAAGAGAGTGACCATACTTACCGACACGGTACCTGCTTCAGTCGATCTGAAAAAGCTTTGTGTCCATATAATAAAGTGAAAAGGGCGCCAGACCAATCACCTGGTTTCAAAGTCAAAGTCAAAGATTATTTATTCCATAGGTAAAATAAATTTACACTTGAAATCGTCACATTTAAGCTACTGCTCGTTCACTACGCTGACCTCCCTGAGAAGAACGAGCAAGAAACTCTAGGGATTGCTCTTTTCAAATAAACTTAAATGCTATGGAATACACTTTGAATCAAATTTGTGTGGATTCTGGAGCAATGTCGTCTTTCCATACATCTTTATCTAACACGTAGTCTTCAATTTTGTAATATGATTTTTCGATCAAAATCTTTTTAATGTAGTTTTTAAATTATTAATACAAAGATCGAACACTCAGAAAAAATTCTTTCGATCCGGTCGGATTCGAACCGACGTCTTCTTGCATACCGTGCCAGACGCTATATCAACTAAGCCACGGAACGAACCAACGGACCTCACGAATTTTTCTATGTGTTTAGTTTTTAAACTTAGGAAATGATAAACTTAATATATGCTCCGGAATCTTATTGTAAAAACGTATACAGTTCCCCATAAAAGAGTTGTTTACCTTGGTTAAACGAAATCGTGGTACCATGAGTTTGGACTTAGCTCTAAGGTTAATATTATGGATATCTTCTTTCTTATTGAAATTATGTATATTTTTACGAGTATATAAAATATTTGAGTAAATGTACTGTGATGCCACGGTCATGATACCAGTCTCCTTAAACTTTTCTCTGAGAGAAACCCGAGAGCCTAGACGGAATATGGTTTGAATATCTGCCGCTTTACCCCACATGAGAATCCAAAGTAAGGAATTCCCTATAGTATGAGTGCCAAAGCAGCGGAATCTTTACTGTCTGGCACTGCCCAGACCACCCAGAGTCAATTTACAAAAGGTCATTTCCCTACTACCCTACCAGGAACAGGACTTTCTCATCCAATGCCCACAGTGCATATCGTTTAGGCCACTGAGGATGTTAATAATAAAAATATACATACAGTCAAGTCAGTCAAATTTTATCAGGCACGACAAGGCTATACAAAAAAAATGCACAAAAATTAACAATGATTTCTATTTATTAAAATATTGCATTATATACAAAGCTGTATTGCATACAGTAACTAATAAAAAATTGTAGTAAACTATAACAAACTGGTGAGTTTTCCACATTTATTCAAATATCTCATAAATGCACTCCACCTTACCAGATAAGGTGAGCCCATTAATCTGATTAGAAGATTATTCAGGATAGTACCAATTAAACAAGAACCACCCAAATCATTATAAATCCAATAAATAAAGTAGAGACATGTCTCCATACACATCCATGTTCAAGAGTTCATCTATAACTGGTTTACACATAATTTTTTATAACTAATATTATTTGAGTTCCATATTCAATACTTGACCATTATCTACAGACTACCATATTTTTAAAAACGTTAATTCTCTAAACCTTGTTGAAATTTAACTTCTTTCGCAGTTTCATGTGCCTTTTGGAGATTTTGTGCAATTTCAAAATATCTTTTTGACTCTTCCATATCTCGTTCCACTCCATCTCCTTTTTTGTACATCATGCTAACATTGGCACAAGCATACATGTTCCCAAGTTCGCAAGCTTTTTTCGCAAATTGAAATGCCTGTTTCATATCAGATTTTATAAGGAATTCTATATTTTTGTTCTTCTCCGGATTGTGCGGGTTGAATTCCTTTGGATTTTTCGGTACGCCAGTGAGATACATTCCGCACAAGTAATGGCATGCCATTTCTTCATTCTTATCGCATGCTTTTTTTAGTAAATTATAACCTATAAAAAAAGAATAAGTTGCAGTCTAGTCCAAAATGTGAAATTCTATTGCACATACGGTTTAAATTATAATAGTAAGCGTATTTTCTTTAACTGTTTCTTTTTATCTTTCTAACATTTTATCAGCCAATGCTTTAAAAGGTTATCTTGACTATAAAATTGCGGTTATGAAACCAAAATGCCAACATACCTTTGTAAACGTCTCGTTTTATATTGAGGCTAGGTCCAGTAGAGGTGAGGAGCAAACCAGCATGCATACAGGCCGTGGGATCACCAAGTTCACAGCCTTTTTCGAAGTATGTAAACGCACCATTTGGGTCAGGCTTGTCCTTCCCGCGCCCAATCAAAACGTAGTTTCCGTACTTCAGACACGACTTTCCGTAGTTATAATCGTCACAATTACTCTTAAAGACCTTTCCCGCCTTATCAAAATCTTTTTTTATTGCCTCCAAATAGTCACCTAACAGGTGACATACTTCTGGCTTTTTCTCTTTATAACACCCAAAACGATATTCTATACCCAGGTTCTCGATGTACTCTTTCACTTCTTCTTCACGTTTTAAGTCATAAGCCATTGTTATTTACAATTTTAATACAATAATTAGCTCCGAGTTAGGTTAGATAACAGCATGAAAATGTCATTGTCAAATTGATAACTTATCAGTGTGAATGTAAACAATAGTCAATTAGTAACTTTTTATTGCTACATTACTGTATACCTCATATAATTACGCATATAATGGATTCCATATATCTTTATGAATAGAACAAGTGTTATGTTAACTTTTAAATAAATCGAGATAATCAAGTTGTGTCTAATTAGACGGCACAAGAGAAAATACGAAATACCTTAATCTTGCGTGTGTCGCTCATTTTCCAAGAATCAATGGATGGAAAAGCACTATAGAAATTATGAATAGTTTTCGTCCGTTGCGCCTGTCGCTAACATACAAATACAGAAAATATTAAATTATATCCGGAAACGGGCACTACCGACCGGCCGCGATCTGCAATACTATGCCACAGACTATATACGTTGACAGAAAATTTCTACGTTTCGTTATTTAACCGTATTATTTTTACTAATTAAATCAGTTTAACATATCAAATCAATATTCTTACTGTGTAAGCATATCTAAAAGAGCATTATATTACTTAAAAAATATAATAACATTGCAATTTGAATAATATTACGTATGCTCATTGCATTTTAGATTTTCAATATGTTTCATACAAACAAAATGATGCAGATCTTGCGTTTTGTTTGTAGGTATCACATAATTAAAAAACAGATGAGCTGTCAGTTAGGATTACAAACACATTACAAAACAGCTGATTGAACAGTCGAGCATTATAAAATATATTGGATTGAATTTCGTTCATTAAAAATTTATAAACATGTCGGAAAATGAAGATTTGTTTACAACACGCATGAGGAAAGCCACACGGAAGATTCACTCAGTGAGCGACGCCTTGGTAAATGCGAAATTTGCTATTTGTGAGTATAACTTTGATTCCTTTGTGTTGTTCTTATTGCATTATTTTAGAGCGTTGTACTTGACGGTTAAACGTACATTATTCTTTTCTGGACCTTAGAGCTCAGGTAATATTGGTCTATTTGTTATAATTCATGTTCCATTTCAGCGCTCAGAGACGAAACGGTTTGGGGTGGAGGATTGTTCGTGTTCTATCACATTTTTGCGTTCTTAGAAGATGCTAAAGAGAGACTCAATATGCCTGATTTGAACAAACTTTTTGTGCACAGGATACTTCACAGGTGCATGTTTTTAAAAAAAATCAACGTTTGATGCAAACCTGTATGGATGTGTATAGATAGATGAAAACAGGAAATAGTATTAAATCAGTACCTCATATACTTACCATACGTTTACATACACTTCACACACCTGTCCCATATGCATACATAGAGATTGCAGCCATAAAATTGATGAGAATGGTATGGCACAGTGCAATGGACTGGCCTCCACATCTCAATGTTTAGATGCTTATTATGTGTGTGGTGAGTGCAGTCCTACTCGTACCACTGAAGCTTCTCTAGTAATAATAATAATCGTAATAGCCTTTATTGCTGATACATTTCTCAAATGTAAAACAATATAATTCATTAATTGAAAAATAAAAAATACAGTACATTTAATTAATAAAAAATGTAAAAAATAACTATTTTTAATAGTTAACACTAAAAATAAAAATAATAGACAAATTTCCAATTGAAAATGAATACTTTATTTAAGTACACAATACAATCTTATTCAAAGTAAAGTTGTATGAGAACATAGAATTTTAAAATATTGAAGATATTACTTCATTTTCTCCATACAGAAAGAAAGCATTTGAAGAGGATCTAAGACACTATCTGGGTGAAAACTGGAGAAACTTCCAAAAGTCACAAGCACTAGAAAACTATATTGATCATTTGGAATATTTGGAGAAGGAAAACCCATTGTTATTGATGGCATATGTGTATCATTTGTACTTGGGCTTGCTGAGTGGTGGACAAATTCTAGCTAAGAAGAGGAACGTATTTGGTGAAAGTATGTATATCTTTTTTCTATTTAGACTTTTAACACTAAATTCTTGTTTCAAAGTTTGTGATGTAATTTAAATGTCAGTTTACTAAATTCCACAGGTGTCTGATGTCTTGAAAAGAATGAGTCTTCAAAAGACATCAGACAGGTCCAGCTTAACATCTTCCTTTGCTTAGAGGAGCTGTGTATAGATTGATGATGTTTAAGAATTACACAACAGGCTAACATGTGAGAACTGGTTCTCAAGTTATATCTGATTTAGGAACCGGTCTCCGGTCAGCTCCATCCATACTGATAGCTGACTGTCTCCAGCAATTTGGATTGGAACAGACCTGTCGTCCAATTTGTATATTCGGCAGATACGTTGAATCCATGGCCAATGAATGGAAATGAATCCATGCAGTAAGGAAGCTTGGGATTCTTTCCAGGGTGAGGCGTTATTTCACACCGGGACTGTTGCTTCAGATGTACCAAGCACAAATCCGTTCATACATGGACTACTGCTGCCACCTTTAGGATGGCTCTGCTACATACCAATTGGCCACCTTGAATTCAATTGACAACCGTGCCAAGAAGCTTATAGGTGACTCGGAATTAGTGGAAGCGAAACTGCAGAGCCTTGAATACCGCCGTAAAGTTGCCAGCTTATCGGTACTTTACAGGATATATCACGGAGAGTTTATAATGGAATTACACGATTTAATTCCGCTTTCCCCTTTCCATCACTGGGGGACTAGGCGTAGACTAGGGTTCCACGTCTATGTTGTAGATATTCCAAAGATTCGCATGAAACGTTACGCTTCCACATTTATATGGCGAACGGCTACGGAATGGAATACCCTGCCTGAACGTTATAACTTGGGCCTTTTCATGACGAAAGTGAATAGACATTCATCCATCGTCGACCTTATCGTCACTTTCCATCAGGTGAGATGGAGGTCAAATACGAACTTACGTTTTATAAAAAGATATAAGTTTTATCTTAGAAAAGTCATTTTCTGGCGTCGCCCTTTTCACATACACAATATGGATGCGTGCGCGTGCGTACGATCGGCGCGCCGATTGCATTTGTCCGCTGCGGCAGCGTGAGTATAAACGCGGCAGCGGCGGCCGGTCGGCGCGGCGCTCATGTCTACTCGCAACATATTTAAGTGGGGCTGCAGTGAGTTTTAGTTCATCCATCATTTTCTAAGCTGCGTCCCTTTCTGCTGTCACTAAAAGTTATATGAAGTGGATTGAATATTACAATGTTTTACTACCATGATATTAAATTCTTTTTGTGAACAAGGTTCGAACCAGCGTCCTCCGCACGACACGGTTCGTCACGGTATTCTGAGAACGCTAGTTCGAATACGGCCGGATCGAGCGAATTTTTCTTAGTGTACGATCTTTGTATTAAAAATTGTGACTTTTAAGTTATTTGAAAAATATTTATAATGTATCTGTGTCAGTTTTATGAACTCTTGACATCTTGATTTTAGGGCAACCCCAAGACGCCTATGTCGATAAAGTGACAGACTTTAGTCACATAGACATCAGTCAACTAAAAAAAGATTTTCGAGCAGCCATGAACGAAATAGCCGAAAAAATGACACCAGAAGAACAAAAAGCATTCATTGAAGAGAGCAATCAGGTGTTTCTTATGAACAATTTGATTGTGAATTCTGTTGGTGGACAAAGCCAAGTTATGTGGAATATGTTTTATAAAGTGTCCGCATTATTCTTGGTCTTTGTGGGCGCTGTATTAGCTTTTAAAATGCATATTAAGTGAATTAAGTATGCTGAATAGTGGCCCAATAGTTAAAGAAAAAATCCTGTACCTCTGCTTGATTATTAAAAATACACATGTCGGCACATTTACCAGAAGAAAATAATAGGAATATAAAACAGTAACTTTTATATTTAAAGAAATAACAATTGGACATAAAGTATCCATTAAATGAACATATTTTAACATCGAATTAGTTATAGCCTTCTTAAACCTTTATTGAAAAAATCAAATTGAAACAATTTTTTTTTACATTTTGTGACAAAGTTGAAAATTAAAAAATTGTAACAATCAATGTTAAACTGTGTTATCAAAGTGTGATAAATAAAAACTTTTTCAAGTAAAGTTTGCAGAATTTACAAGAACGCAAAGTCAAGTTCGAACCACTCGACAATTATGTATAGTAGGAAATTAAACAAATTAATGAATAAAAAATGTAAAATAACTCATTGGAAGTTAAGAAATTGAAACAGAGAATAATAGGTTTCGAAATAAATATAGGATTTGACTCTGAAAGTCAGTCTGAGTTTAAATGGTTTAGGTGTAGTCGTATTTGGACCTTCGCAATGTTGTGTTTAATAGAACTTTATTCACTAATAACATTGTTAAAATTTTATATTGAAATATATTATTATTAGCACCATTGAAGGGTTTTCGCATTTTGATTGCTTATATTACTCATAATAGTAGAATGACGTGTCGCATAGAACTTGTGTAAAAGCAACACTTAGAATAAAAATTAATTTTATCTAGGCAGTAACAAAGATCAATATTTCCTTTCATACAAATTATTCACAATACTTAAATTAAAATTAAAATTCAATAATTTTTGGTCAAAGTTTCTAATTTAGAAAGATGTAACAAATTCTGGATTGTTAATTTAATTTAAACTTTACTCAGTAGCTATATTGTTGATAGTTCAATACCTTTATTGCAAGTTACGACGCTTTGATTTTATATAAAAATTTTATTCAACGTGCGGCCAGTAGCTGGACTACGACCAACGATTGATTAACACCTGAATCAATTCGATAAACAGAAAATTGAAAATTTAAATTAAATAAGGCTTACCGATGGTATACGGGTAAATATTTTTGGTGCAGCTAACATTTTTGCACTCTAAAACAGCGCAATAAGGCATTTTTCTGCGAGTTTAGAGAATTTGCGTGAAAGAATGACACAACTAAGTATAGTGTATCATCTATGGACAAAAACCATACAAAGCGAAAATGGCGGACTGAGTACTCAAGTACTTCTTTCGAGACCTAATGTTGACACGCGTCAGACGGTAACTAGCCACTTCTATTGTATTTATTGTTCTGTGATTAGCCTTATTTTACTTGTATATTAAAAAAGTGTTCCATACAAAATTACTTATACCAAAATGTTAGTAACCGCTGATTTCTTTGATAGGGCTTCCGCAGTTGAAGTTGTGTTATTTCATGCATTAAACATGACCATAGGTTAGCTCATTGAATTTGTTGAAACGTTATAGCGATTTCTTCGATTGTTGTGCTTCTAATAAAAAATTGATTTGTTCTAACATTACAAAATGTTAGATTAAATTTTGTGGTACCAAAATAAGTTACTATAAATACTTAATAGACTGTAGGTGTTAATAGACTGATTAATAAAATTTGTTTTTCTTTTCTTGCTCGTTTTCTTTACGATCTTTTTGCCTTTATGTCTTTAATGATGTTTTTGTAACCTAAAGCTATACAGCCAGTTTGAATCGGGGCCCAACCGCGAATACCTCTCCCCTCTAATTCGGGATCATCCAGCACCCGCAATGCAAATCGATAAGGTGCGAGATCGTTGCATTCACACATACCTTGAATTGGTGACACGACTACTTGCATGGAGCAAACGATCCGTATCAAACAGCAGCGCTTTATTTCCCCCGGTAACTCTCGCTTCACTAGGAGACCGGTGGGAAACGGGACGTAGTTGGATTGATGAATTCACTTTAACCCATTTGGAAGGCCTTAAGACATCTCGGTAAGTTAGTTGAAAGTTGTAGTTAGTTGGGGTGAGTTGACACACAATCGCGAACGTAGAAAAATGTAGAGTTATTGAAAGTTAAAAATACACGGTTATAATGAAGTTAATGTGATCAATCACGATTGTGTAATAACGTCAATTAAAAATACATTGAACCAATGCATTGAACTAAATAAAATGGCTCCGCCCAATGCATGCCGCAAGCGCAGCACAAAAAAGGCCTTGTGCAGTCGAGAGCACGTCAAGCTTGACATTTTGTACTTTGGACCGTTGTTATCGGAAGCGGCACAGAGTTGAATTTAAATCTTAAGTGTCAAGCTTGACGTGCTCTTGACCACAGGGTCAAGCGAAACACAATCAAGCTAAACTGTTCATGAACATGTAACAGCGTTTAGCGTAAAATGAAATATTAAAATATGAGGAGTACGGGGCACTTGCGTTTCGCTATATCGTCGCATTAGAGTGAAAACTACGATACGCTTGTTACCTAGCTGTAAATTTTCCGAAAATAAAATAAAAATAAAATGCGTATTCACATAGTTCGTTTTTTACTGATTTTTGTTGAAGAAAAAGTTAAACTTCTTGCTGAAATGTATTATTAAAGTAATATAGTACATATATGAAAGAGGTACAATTTAACCAATTAAAATGCCGACTACTAACATTTTTTTTTTTAATATATAATAGACACACGCTTGGCCACAATCTCACCTGATGTTAAGCGACGATGTGACCGACGATGGGACGCGTTTGCCTAAAAAATGCCTATTCACTCTAGCCTTGAATAGCCCCAAATTGTACTATACTATACTAATTATACTATTGTACATTGTTGCGTTGATTACATTTTACACGTTTTCACCTTCGCCTTCGTCCTGAAAAATTACATAGAAATCACATACGAGGCATTCACTCTAAGACGGCGATATAGATCTAAAAAAATGAGGTATTATAAAATTAAAGTAACTACGGGCTTTACAGTGCGGTTTCCAAGTGCTTTCTGTGAAGTTACTGCTTTTCTATACAGAAGTATCAAAAGCGTACTGAGAAAATTCAATGATTTACACACATTAGACATTTTATATTGAATCAATGTAACCACTATGGCAAGAAAAGTACTGACTTTTTTGTGTGCGCTATTATTTAAATACTCTCCATGAAAGGGTTAAGAAAGTAACGGTTCTAGTAAAATAAAAAAAAACATGGGAGAATAAAAAACAATCTATTGTTATTTAAAATACTTATATCTAGGTATGTATTGTAGCCGTCTTTTATGTTACTATAATATTTACATAGTTGTATTCTACATTTAAAAACTTAGTTAATAAATAATGTAAAAGAAATTATCTAAAAGAAGGCAGCGTGGGAGGGTCCATCGCTATGTCGATTAGGTCTTCAATATCGTCCGGCGTCCAGAATGCCAGTTCCATCTGCAAATTGAGAATTTGATTTTTAAGTAACGTTTCAATATCTCAATGTCTCTCGGCAAACATCGGATTTCCGAATGCACACGAACATTAATTTCCACGCCCATTAATTACATTTAAAATCTATAATAATTTTAATCTTGAACAACGTACTTTATTATTGTTTTTGTTTTGATTTCCGTGTGAACTATATAGAGCTGCAAAACTATTTCCCTATTTCAATAATTTCCCTATTTTATCGGATCTAAACCGCGTATATTCGTTTTTTCAAAAATAAACCAAGGTTTCGGGTCCTCAACAGGTTTAATGGTCACGGCTGACTGAGATGGTAGCGTTCAACTAGTTATGTCTAATATTAATGCAAACCATCTATTTTTCATTATAGATACAATAGTCGTTGCATAATGACGGTTCTTAAATTCGAGTATCGTGTAAGTAATAGGCATGAGATTTAAGATCTAATTATGTAACGATTGTATACAATTCTTTGTAATTTCACCAAATTACTGACACATGAGACTTGGTTACTTATGTCTCAGGTGACGGGCGCAGTGGCAGTGCCCCTCAGATCTTTGTGATTTAAAGCACTGTGTGGCACTGCAACTGTTCGGCCGTCCACTAACTAAAACGAGACTAAGCGACAAATCGGCCCCTCGCACGTAAATTATCGTATGTCGAAATTGCCCATTGAATGCACTGAAATGAGCGTAACAGGTGACTTTAGCATTTCTCAGTTTTATTCGGCAAACTCGTTACTCACACAGAGTATTATAAAATCCTAGATATCGGTTATATGATTTATGATGATCTATTAGATGATCACTCTTTCCGTGAATTCAGAACGTTAAAAAGCTCCCCTATAAACTTTGCAATTTGAACATACGATACTTTAAGTAGGAGGGGTCGAAATATCCGTTTTAAGTAACAAAAGATAGAGCACAAAAGTCTCTTAAAAACAGTTAAAATTAGTTAACGTGTTCGACTTATCGGAACTTACCCTAACGGTGCTAAGCTGAAATAACATTGAACAATATCGTTTTTACGATATCTCAAAAAAGTATTCTGTCACTTAACTGCATTTTAGTTAGCGGACGGCAGCGTTACGGACAGGCGTGTCACTCGCCGCCAGGGGGCGACAGAAAAAAGCTGAAAAGGTCTCGCGGCTCACCATCCGGTCGGGGTCGGCGCAGACGCGGCAGTGCAGGCGCGCGTCGCGGCACTCGCAGCGCGGCGGCGCGGCGCAGGCGCGGGCCGTCTGCGCGGCGCGCGCGCCGGCCACCGTCGCGAAGCGCCGCGCCGTCGTGCGGTCGCCCGACAGCTTGCTGCCCGCGAAGATTGTTCCTGCGCACGCCCAAACGCCCGAGGGCCACTGGTTAGCTATTGCTTTAACACCGAACATCGTCATCGGTTAAACCTTGTAATGTATAAATAATGTTAACTGCCTCCGTGGCCAAACGGTTACCATGCCGGTACTGCCACGCAGAGGTCCCAGGTTCGATTCCCGAGCCGGGAGAAATAGTAGTATGGCCTACAATTATTTGTCTCGTGAGTTTGGGTGTAATTTGTGGTTGTCTATGTGTGTGTCCATGGCACCCGCGACACAGGGTTTCCCTAGTGCGGGGCTATGTTGAGTGTGTGCGTTATTATTATTATATTATTATTATTATGCAAGTACACTTAGTGCGAGTTGTTAATAAGGAATGTTCAAATCAATTTCCTGTTTGAATCACAATGTTCCTGTAATGTGCAAAATACATTATGCGAATGATATTTATAGATACCATCAGTAACGAAAGATAGCAACAAATCTAACGAAAATTGCGTAGTTGAATTGTGCATGCGAATTTTTGTTCGGTCATAATAAGTAATAAAATGACGCACAAAATTACATGGAGGATCTTTCGATGAAAACTTTTGAAAGATCCATTCATCATTCAAGTAAGGGATAATTAGTTATATAAACAGTATATCTTAATGAGACTCAATACTTGCAAGCTCTTACCGCGATTTGATCAACCACCTTTACGGATGAAAAGCAAATTAAAAAAAAAAAAATCCGTTCATTCGTTCATTTCATTCAATTATTAATTCGAACGAAAAAGTACTCACCATTGGTTTCCATAGCCAAGGAAGAACAAACGCTAAGTTTCTCTTTGGGCAATTTAACTTGCTTCCTTAAGCTCGCATCTCCCACCAAACGTTCATAATCCTTGTTTGTGTATGCCAGCATGCTGTCGATACCTGTTATATATAACAGATAAAGGATTATTTTATTTGAATGCGAGCCTAGTTATTAGGAGGTAAGGTGTGGCGGGGCGCCCCTCGCGTTCCGGAATCGACAAGCACCCGATGGCGACTGACGGCGCGGCGTGTCGTTAAACAGCTGAGCAATTTACAAGTTTTGGGATAAATGTGTATTTAATAACGATAGGGCTTCACTTGAAAATCAAAATTTAGCATGTCGTCGTTGCAAATTTAATATCTCTTATGTGTTAAAAGTAACTATCGTAGAAAAATTAAAGAGTTTTCTTCTGTGAAATTTTTCTAGTGTTTGTAGAGTATTTTTGCTCTATTTTCTTATTTGGATAAACAATGATATATGTTAAATGTATAGCAAAAATGTTTCTGTATCTTTGAATACGCTTTCCAAATATTTACAAAACTTCTTGTCGACCAAAATGACACATGATGTGCCTGTAGTATTTAAAGAAAAGTATCTCCATTATAAAAATAACGTACAAAGTTAGATATTATATTCTTATATTTAAGAATTATTAGAACTAATTATTATTAGTTTTAGACTTTCACTTTAGCCTGTTTTCAGGATTTTATATGATCGGACAAAGGTCATCCTATCGTGTAACAAATCAGTTCTTTAGACAATATCCTTAGCTATATCATATGTTTTTTGTAAGACTATTATTTAATAGTAAATACGTAAACAATTTGATCCAACAAAATTGTTTTTCCCGCTTCTCCTCCGGTGACTGGCCTCAAGACTGAGCGTCATGGTTTTATATAATCGCAAAGCCATCGATCACGAATTACAGACTTAATACAATAATAAGATAGAAACAAGTACAGTCAAAAGGACCCACGAGAACAGAGCGTATTTTGTTTTTTAAACTTTTGCGGAAGTGCTAGGGCCCGTGTCGCCACTAAGTATAAGTAATCAAAATCGAATGGATGTTGAGATACATGTCTGAACACCACACAGTTGTCCACCATGTACAAGTTTGATGTGCTCATGAATGTACAAAAGTTAAATTTAGTCAATTAGAGCTGGTGCACCATTTTTAAAGTTCTTTAAATGATTTATTATTTTAATGAAGAATTAGAATCACCCATCGATATCTCGTTTACTTACAAAAGTTATAAGTACAAAATACGTTGATGTGAAATGCCGAAGCACCACCATTCCAAAGTCAAGAAGCAACCTGTCAAATATTTCTTTTATTTAATTATGAACTTTGCGCAATTATCTTAACGCTTACCGAACAAATATTTAACGACGCGTTTCTTCGACAGCATGAAGTCGTCGTCCATAATAATGTGTAGGGTCACGGAGTTCTCCACCAGGTTGTGATGAATAGTCGAATAGTCCAGCTATGAAGAATACAATATGTAATAAACATACATAATCATTATTAACACATTATGCGTTCCACTGCTGGGCACGAGTCTCTTCTCAACAAAAGAGGGCTGTTCACATGTGAAAAGCCCTCATGTTTTCACATGTTTTTCAAGGACTATGAACCTTCTTCGACATGCAGGTTTCTCACGACTTTTTCCTTTACCTTTAGCGTTTGGCATTGGTATTAAACATACAGAAATGTATGTAACTTAGAAATTAAATCATACCGTACCGTTCACCCTTTGTTGGAAGCAGTAAAGCTCCTTGTGAAAGAGTTCGTCCAGGGAAGTATTGCCACATTACCTATTTCTGCCGCCATGCAGTAATATGAGCATTACTGCGTTTCGGTTTTGGAGGGTAATGGTGCTGGTGAAATTACAGGCATATGGGAATTTTTAACTTATGTCTCAGGGTGACGGGCGCAGTGGCAGTGCTTGAAGACTTTGCAATTTAAAGCTCTGAGCGGCACTGCAAATTTAGTGGACAGGCGTCTCTTAACAACAGGCGTGTCGCTACAGGTATACACAATCATACATACCATATGTAAACAAATTTTAGCTGAACAAAATTTGATTTTTGACAAATACAAAAATTTGTTATACGTGAAATAAAATTTTAGTTCGTCATACAACACAAACGCACATATATTGCGTTTAGTTTGGTATTTACATGGGGAAGCCGACTACTTGTAACAAAATAGGGTCCGATATTAAACAGCACTACGTTGAAGTAATTTTGTTAAATGTTTACATTAAAGAAATTATGCAGGGTGACATTGTTTTATTTGACTATATTTTTGAATTACAGTTAAGTTTATAACGTTCTTTTTTGGGGGTAATTGAACAAAATAAATAAGCAAAACTTCCTCGAACATTTCTTCAAAAACTTAAAATATTTGTGTATTTTGAATTTACTGTTTTTTGTTTTTTGTCTATTGTGCCAATTTTATTACATACCCTCATAAAACTGGAGTCGCAACGGGTGCATGGAAACAGAACCAGAGTTCTGGGCACACCTGCGCGGAACGGCAGCGCTGTCGCGAAGCTCAGAGCGGAGAACATATCGGCCTTGGCTGTGCGGTTCCCACGGACCAGATCGGCTTTCTCTGCGATATAGATATTGAAGCAAATTAAAGTCACACTTACTCAAATCAGAGTTATCTTTACTTAATTTTAAGTTACAGTTACTCAAATCCAGTCGTAATTACGAGTAAAACGGGGTATAGCCTGTATTTTTGTATTTCTTACCAATATGGAAGTTATCAAAGTGCTGCGAGATTTCAATGGCATTCGTAAACACCTTGTTATTAACGTATAGAGCTCGAGGCTTGCTGTATACGCCGCGCCCGCCGAAGCCCACGATCGCGTATCTGTTGACATTCATCACAATTATAGACAACACTAATTACCATTTCACATAGGATGGGTACTGTGACATTTCAAAGTGTTAAGTTGCATGCATACTATTTTTAACTATCTTTTAAGATTACAAAAAGAAATTGTAAATTTGTTATAATACCAAAAACAAACAATATTTATTGGAGTTGTCACTTTAAGTAAACATTACAATACATATATTAAGTAGATAGAAACATAAATAACAAAGATAAAAATATAAATTTCTCCTAGAGATTGACGCCATTAAATTTTGTTTCGAGTTTTGCATAACGGTTTTTTTTTTTTTTTATGACATTAAGTAACGGGACGAACAAGTCGTGTGCCTGATGGTAAGCTACACGCCTTTTGGAGTAATTATTCAAATTTCATTTTGTTGGTGTAGATTTTATGCTTTGACTTTTTGTTTGGTTATTGTTGATTTTTCTATTTGTTGTATAGTTTTTTTAGTAACTTAATAACATAATAACCGAATGCTTCTTATTTAGCTTATTATATGTTCTTAAATTATTATTTCTAAATCGATTCTCTCTTCTTTACAAATTATCTCTATAAGATGTTGAAATCGATATTTTAAATTTGGTTTTACGTCACTACGTCCCTAGAAACGTCAAATCTCAAAAGTCACCATAGCCATGCTATGTGAAATGAACTATTGGGATTTTCGAACAACATCATTAGACCTTGACTCTTCCGATACAACATCGCTATAACATGGCAAATGATGAGGTATCCTTAAAAGCCCAGGTCGAAATTATCAAGGATGTAAGGCGTGTATGCAATGACTAATGATTATGCTACAAATTAAAAAAAACTCTTTACCCACCATGGCTGTGATGGAAAGAAAAAAGGCCCGAAGGTTTTATTTGGGGCATTATAGTCAAGTTAGCCACCATACTATTTGCGAGCAAGTGTGATGAAATAATTATTTACTTAATGTGATACATCAGCAACTACTTAAGAGTGAGAATATTAGGTCATTCTCTAGGAGGAATGAGAAGGAGCTAGTGGTAATGGTGAATGTTTCTCACCTGTTATCAGCCAATCCACCGCCCTGTAGTTTAGCATCGAAAGCCTCAATAAACAGATCCAAGTTCTTTATCTTTCGCATATTCTTGTTGCAATATTGAGCTTCTATTATGAACACGACGTCGGTTGAATTTGGTACGTATTGCAGATCGTAGAATGAGCCTTCTTCAATGATGTCGCCTTGCGGTGTAGTGCACCTGTTTTAGAAAGCAAACTTTTAAGAAAAAATAAACCCCTCCGTCCATAAAAACCACAAAATGAAGATTTGTTCAAGATCAGATGCGGAAATTACAAACAAGATGTTCGAATTAGATTCATATTGCTCACCGTTAGTACGACATCGTTACAACAACGGTCATTTAACCCATTTAACAAATTTTAAAATTTTTAGTTAGCTATAATATTTTATAAAATATTTAGATAGCTGACTAACTAAACATTTGTATAATATAGAATAGAATAAACTTTATTGCACACAAAATAATAAAAAGTGACAATACAAAATTTAGATACCTATTAATATATATATATATATATATATATATATATATATATTTAGTGGGATAGGTATCTAAATTACGGAATTATAGGTAAGTAATTCAGTACGTTTATTACTATAGTTATCTAGACTAAGGCCGGCCACGTACAGTCGGAGTTCCGTTTCGAAATTCCGTTTCGGAATATTGATTCGCAATTCCGTATATATATCACACACATACGTTTATTTCCGTTCGGAATAACGAGTCTCAGCTGAGAGACGCAAGGCATTGAGCCCAGTTGTTCTTACAGCTAAAATACGTGTTGCGGCCCTGGAAAATGTATGGAAGACTTGCATTCGGAAGGGCTTTTCCGTGCGGAATTACAAATGCACAAATGGTCTCAAACTAGGGAATTCCCTGTACTATGAGTACCAGAGCAACGGAATTCATTCTGGGGCACAGCAATTTACAAAACATCTAGACCAGAACCAGTTTATAAAAGTTCCATTTCCGCAATTGGACCTATCGGGAATCCTCATCAAACGCCCACAGTTATTATACAAACGGCCACAGAGGTTACTATTATTATTAACTTACTGCACGCAATGGTCGGGAATGTGCACTGGTACGTGCTGCATGTTGCACAGCTCAAGGTAGGCGCTGGCGAGTGCGCATGCGTCTACGCCTGCCACGCATTCCAGGAAGAAAGGCGCTGCGTCGATCTGTGAATATTCATTGTTACATATAGTGTCAACAACATACAGTAGAACACATTCATTCATTCGTTCGTTTACCCATTCATTCATATGAATAGTATTTCGTTACCTATAATTCACGAAAATTTGTTATTATCTAAAGTAAAGTATATGTAAATTAATGTGGGATTGCTAAATCTGAACGCATGCGTTCTTATAATTTAGGCGATGTGTGAACGTATCCAAACGTAACCAACGGGAGTGAGAGGGAAGGAGTGTGTAAGAGTGAGAAGAAATTAAAGAAGAGAAGACGAGCCTGCAGGGCTCTTGTTTTTATGGATGACGGAGTACGTTGAAGCAGTAAGACGAAATAAATTTTCACCTAACCCTTTTCTTTGATCATCCCACATTAATTAAATATCCTTTCCACACTACTACGATTTTTATAAAACTGGTAAACGTAGCTTGAAAGAGACAATATTAATAAACCATATATTGCATTGTAACTTTTAGTAATACTACATGTGATAACTAAAGTGCCGTTGGTACTAATAATTGGTAATAACAATTTTGATAAACGGTTATATTTATCGGTGGTGCTAGTGACAACAAAAGGATTTTTTGTTCCGGTACACATAGTATACAGTATCCCTATTTTGAGACCGGGTAAAATCATAGTAATCAGCAATTACCTAACTTTTGCAACGAATTGTGAAGGAAATTTGACAGTTTACTATTTTAAATATATATCGAGACATTACACATAGAAAATGAAACCGACGTTTCGGGCCCTTTAAAGGTCCCATGGACACGGTTGACTGAAGTGGTATAGTCTTCAACCAGTTATGCCTAATATTAATGCAAACCACCCTAGTTTTTCACTATTATTTTTAATTTTACAAAGAAAACATTCCAATTTACGCTACATTAAGTTTTACAAAGTTGGTTTGTTTGAAAAAACAAATATACGCGATTTAAATTAGGAAAAATAGTTTCATTTCCTATTTTAAATATAGTTAAGGAATGACCACCAACAGCGCCAAGTCTCATAAACAATAAGGAACCCTAATTGCACTATGACATCATCATAGGATAACATCTGATGCATACCAGAACTCGATAATCGCAACGTTATGTTGGGACGCAATAAATAACCATAAGAGAATAGTTTCTGCAATACAAAGCGCATCCAGGGACTGCATCTTTATCTTAATAGTATCCTGGCGACAAGCAAGATTTCAGAACATTCTCGAGGATCTACACAACGACGTGATCCCACCCGCACCGGCTGCTATAAAAGATCACACACGGCGGCAGCGTGGCAATTCACAGTGAACTAGTAATCCGAACCTAAGCTCCGAATCGCTTGAGTTACGTCTTAACTTGTACTATTTCAAATTGTAAACTCAATAAAACCGCATACTTTCCAATCAACGTTCTACTTTATTGAAATAAGGAAGAACCCCCGACTCCACGAAAATTACGAAGACACAACTATATTAAAAATATCGCTATTAATACCGGAGTAATTGAAATAGGTCCTACGGCACATGAAAACAAAAAATGTCATGTCTATAGAAAATACTGTAACTGCTTCTGTGGCTGAACAGGTACCATGCTGGTCTGCCACGCAGAGGTCCCGGTTTCTCTGTCGTGACTTTGGGTGTAATTTGTGTGTGTCCGTGACACCCGCGATGGGGTTCCCTTGTGCGGGGCTAATACTGTGTACGTAAAAAACTATAGTAAAAATACTCACTATAGAAAAGCACGGATGTAAAGGCGAGACTTTATTCTGGAAGAACTTATCGCATTGCGTATCATTTTTCAGTTCGTGGTTTTCCACTGGTGGCTTGTCATTGGGTTCTATGTTCCAGCTAAGGCTTAACTCGGCAACGGACGTCGTATACGTGTTGTTTGACAGCTGGAAATCGTCGTATTGCTCGTTGTTATATGTGCCGAGTAGGCCGCCTAGAGTTGCGTAGTACCAGCCTAAGAACACATAATAATATTTTCTTTTTATTTCCAATGACGGGCTAAGCAATTACTGCAACTAGGAAACGCATTGTGATAATATGGGATTGGTGAATCAGCCTAAAATAATTTAACATTCTTACTCTTTCTTCTACAAATTTTAACATTCTTATAATAAAGTTGAATTTTAGTAGAGATCATGATAGTTTTCATATTAATAAATTTCGACAAAAAAATTAAAGTTTCAAACTTTCTCGTAAGCATACCAATAAAAAAATGCCGAATAATCTTTGTATAAAAAATTAATATTTATTTTTACTTTTGTACATTTTGTATTCATTCGATTGCGATAAAACTATAGTGAATTGTAAAAATAATAGAACCAGTTTAAAATATCAGGTGGGCTAGGAAATGAATTGCAACGTTACAGCAAATGAGTAATAAAATAATAAATTTTAAACATTTCAGGATAAAGAAACTGATTACTGAATCTTTGAAGAATCATGACATTCTTTTTAAAGTGTGTTGAGCATATAAAACTAAATAACGTTAACTATAGGGATCCCTTCTGAAATCGCGAAAAAGAAACAACTGCTTTATACATTTAGACGGAGAACATATTTTTTCGCAATTTTAAAAGGGTCAATATAGTAAAAGTATTTTCGTTCTATATACTGACCATGCCATTAAAAGATTATTAGCTAATACATTGCGACCTTATGTAATTATGTTTAAAGAATAGTAAAAGAAAAAAAAACAATTACGATCATAAATGAAAATAATACTAAGAGAAAGCTGTGGTAGCCTAATGCTTTGATCTATCGTCTCGCAAGCAGAGGCCCTGGGTTCGAATCCAGGTTCCCACCTCTGAGTTTCTCGGAATTTATGTGCGAAATTGAATTTGAAAAATATCATGAGCTTTTCGGTTAAGGAAAACATCGTGACAAGATGGTTCACAACTGTTGGAAAAAGTGTGAAGGCAACAACTCGCATTGGGCCAGCGTGGTGGACTATGGCCTAAACTCTCGCCTGGTAGGAGATCCATGCCCAGCAGTGAGACGTATAAATGGGTTGATGATGTTTAAGAGGAAGGATTCATTCCTGTATCCCGTTTATAAGTTTCATTATAAGGTTGATTTTTTTGAGTATTTTATTCTGTAATTTTGTTATGTGTATACATATTATTACAGATGTTCGTGTCTCGAGTAATAAATAATGGAGATGCTCCTTGAAATAAATGTAATTTTTTTTACCTGTCACCTGCAACTTGCAAGTCCTAAAGAGCAAATTGCACTGTATATCCATTCCGTTCTGGCCCTGGACGGTGATCGTGTCAGTTTGCCTGTCTAGGATTAATCCGTCGATGACAGCTGGCAGGGGGAGGGGCGAGGATCCGATTGATACTTGCTGAAAATATTTAACTTTTATACTTTAAACTATTATTTTTTATTGAAGGAACAAAGTGACAACTTAAGGCGGATTTATGTATGTCTGACGAGTCGTGTCGTGATGCGTCAGAACGGTATCTGTTTTATACATTTAATATGATGAGATTTACGTAAGTGTGTCGCAATGTGTTGTGTTGTGTCGCATCAGAAGCGATCCCGATCGATCGGGTGATTTAGGGGTGCGGCGGAGCGGCTGCGTGACGACAAGTCAGACGACTGTGCACACGCCGGTGCTGTGTTGTGACGCGTCTGACATTATGACCGTTTGAAGTCTCCGCGAGCTAGGACAGTATTGTTAAAATATTGTCAGAAAGCGTCAGAACACGACATATAGATGTGAACGCTAACCATCACGTCAGAGCGCATAGTTATTCATTTAGAGATTTTATTTTAGTTTGTAGAAAGCATGACCCAAAAGTTATTATTGATTAAATAAATGAGCTACATACCAAGTCACTTACAATTTCGTTATGTAAATATTAAAAAGACAGAAGAAAGAAAAAAACTGTTTATTGCATAAGCTATAAACGTATAGCATACGCTTATAAACAACAAACAGAGGAACAATAATAAAAAAAATTAAAATAAAATATTAAAACAATTTTCATGAAAAAGCAGTAATTTACATATGCATGTCGCGACTGGTACAATCGGAACTTGCTCAGCTTTAGCCACAATCGGTTTTTTTAAATGTATATAATATATTATGGATCGTTTTTTTGAGTCTAGGGCTTTTTTCGCCGTAAGTTAAAAAAGTTGTCAATATATTCCACTATTTCTATTATCATATAATCTCCATGACTTTTGAAAGACGATAGAAACTGGAAATCTTTTGACAGATAATAAGTATAATTTTTAAATTTAAATAACTTCCTTCGTGGCCGAACGGTTACCATGCTGGTTTGCCAGGTAGAGGTCCTGGGTTCGATTCCCGGGCGGGAGGAATATTTGTATGGTATTTGTATGTCTACGTTTATTTCTCTCGTGAGTTTGGGTGTAATTTGTGATTGTGTCAGTCCATGGCGTCTGCTACATAAGGTTTCCCTAGTGTAGGGTTATTATACATAGAATAGTTTAAATAGCAATACAGGAAGTCTACCACGAAATACGATGCGTCTGCAACGACGCACACACGTACTACATATTATGTCAGTTTCACGATGAAAGTAATGTCAAAATTCGATACGAAAGCTGTCATTTGACGTTTCGTGGCAGCCTTAGGCCCGAACGAAGCTAATACGATGATCGTTGCTTCGTATTTCATGTCACATCGTAAGCCTGAAAATCCTTACCTCTTTATATAAATCGATATGTATAAGATTCCTCCTTGTCAAGACAAGTAAATTATATCTGCTCTGGTCATTGCTCTCCATAAGAACAGTGAAGTTGTTCTGACGATAATCCTTGCTGAGTACGAACGTGCCTTCTTCCGACACCGTAAAGACTCTCTTGTCGAAAGTCACTAGAGTACCTTGGCCTGTCATTACTGCCATACCTGAAAATACAGAGTGGCCTATTTATAGAACAATTTTTTTATTCACATCGCAATAATTGTCCATTTAAAATATACATTAGTTCCGCGAAAATAAATTTAAAAGTTAGTTTTTTGTGGCACATGTTTTTTTTAAATGAAATGGACTTGCTCTTGACCACTACCTAGCTCTGTGGGCTAGACTACGAAGTTTAGATTCGAGTTTATCGTCGCCAATAAGTCTCCTGGCTTTGCGCTCAATCGAATAAAGTGTCTCAAGTTGATACTTCGCTGAGCCATCAAATAAGTGACTGCAGGCAGTACTCCATGCAAGATCAGACTTGTGCTTTGTATAAAGTTAAGAGCTGTCCAGGCGTGAAATATCGCTTAACCTTAATTTTGTTAGAAAATTATTCCACTAAATCAATTAAAATTTATCGAGTTCTTAGGTTTTCGCGATTTACGTCACGGTTGAGTCAACTGTGACCATGGGACCTATAAAGGGCCCGAAACGTTGGTTTGTTTGAAAATACAAATATACGCGATTCAAATCCGGAAAAATAGTCTCATTTCCAATTAAAATTTGCTATGGAAGTAGTGTGGCCATGTAACTAGCCGGGAATGAGCCATTTTTGGTTCATTCTTAAAGTGCGCTGTTATTTTCGACCTTTTGGTGAATTTTCAGATAGAGAAAAAAATAAATGTGCTGATGGCCTTAAGAACTACCTTGAGATGTAGTGATTGTCTTGGTCACGGCTGAGTCATCGTATAGTCAGTCGTAGCCCTAGGACCAAAGAAGCGCCCAAACACGATCGCCGGCGCTTTCTTTTGCTAATCCACAGACTTATCACTGTTTAGAGTAAACAATTTAAATATTTTTATTTTCGTACGAAAGTAAAATATGATGAATTATCAAAAGTCGTGCAACAAAAGTTATTGTGTATGTTGTTAGTAATAGAAAGAATATAGATATGCAAGTTTGTTATTATTTTACAAATAATATAATTATTTTTTAGATTAACTAATTATAGTTGAGGTGTTAGTTTTAGTTTAGAACGAAAACGTTTAGTAGCAGTAGAGCTCCTTATAAAAGAATCCGTCCAGGTATTGTAAAAAAAAACGAAATGTTACTTTATTTGAAAAAGCGAATATATTTGATTTATGATACATAGATAGACATGAAACAATTGCGAAAACCCAAAATCTCGATCAGAATTACTTTTTTTTGATATGCAGTAGAATAAAAAAAGAGATCACATACAAGTCCAATAGAAGAAAATTTAACTAACCTGCAAACGGTGGTAACACGTTGTTAATGTCCATATAAGGACGTATCTCATAGTAGTAGTGCCAGATATTATGGTTCGTTGTCAACCAGTTGTCGAAGAAATCTCTTACTGCTCTGTATTCGGCGATTTCGGTGAAGTCTGGTGTGCGGTTGAATGCGTGCCAGGACATGGGCAGTTTTTGTTCGAGAAGGATTTCGCCTTTGCGAGGATCGAAGATGAAATTTGTTTTTGGGGTGCGATGGCTGAAAATAAATAATAATAATAAGCCTTGCTAAATAATTGGCCACGACCGTGCCGCTGTCAGTGGTAGCTTAGTGCGGGGCGGCGAGCGGCAAGAACAAATGAACTAAAATGTATTTTTTTAAGTTAATGGATTTGCTCTTGAACATTAACTAGCTCTGGAGCAAAGATACGATCTACGATGGAACGATCTCGCCCAAAAGATGTCTATTCAGTCGCACCCACAAAAGAAACTCGGGTTGTATGTACTCGAAAACATAATCGCAGGCAGTTTCTGGGCTGTACGCACAATAAAAGATGAAAAATAGAGAACAATTGAAATTTAAAGTCTTCATTTTGTTTGAAAATGGTAAAAAAATAAAATAATAGGGTGTACAAGGTTTAGAATAGAATATAAAATAATCATTTAATTCATATTATCAATGTTACAATATGAAAATTTTAAATATAATGTGAAGGGGTGATAATTATGATTATCACAAATATAAGCAATAATAATTAACATAAAACTAAAAAATAGGAAGATAAAAAAATTGCACTTTTGTATTTGCATTTCCAAAGATATCGTTTTGTGCCGAAGTACAAAACGATATCTTTGGAAAAATTCATACAAATACGTTTGTATGAAAAGAAGGCGGACATATCACCTTAACTTGAATGAGTTATATATTGACTTTTTGCTTTGTCAGCCTTTACTTACATTTCTTCGTACTGCAGCGCAGTCTTGGCCATGTCAGTGATTTTGTCGTAGATGATCTCCCCGGCTTGATCCAACGATTCACCTATTTTGAAATAATCGTACCACCACTTAAGGCGGACGTAGGCTTCTTTACACTGCAAGTAATAATATATCTATACTTACTAAATTCAAATAATTTTTATTTCATAGGTAAGCAAATTACACTTGAAATCAATGTATGAATTAAACTCTACACATCCGTAAAACAGATTCCCTTTAAAAGAATCAGTAAAAAAATACTGGGGGTTGTTGCTCTTTGTAAATAAATATTTGTAAACATTTGTTATTTACAATATTTATTTCAAATATGATCGATCAAGACAACCTGCAAGAGCTAAACAGGTCCCTACAATGAATTTGCGTCATCCAATCACGCAGAAGCTTTAGTGTGAAGTTTTTGTTTCACTATAGTTATAAAACTCGTAAATGGCAAATTTTGAAAATCAACCGGAATCTTATTATAGAAACCATAAATTAATTTATTTTTGAATACGA